AAAATAAAAAAGAGCCGAGATCGACTTGTAAACTAATCTGGAATTTTTGTTTTGTGCTTGGGAGGTTATTCCCATATCTTTAAATCAAGGTAGGTAACTGTTATACGTGTTACATTTATTTTTCTTTGATTATCGCCTTTTAAATTACCTAGTTCACGATATTTTGCCAATTTCCGATGGTCAGCAGATAGTGTTATTTTGTCAACATGATGACATAATTTAGAAATCATTTGTTCAGTAATGATCGTTACTCTTGAATTAGATTCAAAACATAATGTACAACATATTTTACAAGTTTTATTTATTTACCGAATTGATGTCGAATATAAAATTAGATAACACTTCACAAACAAATTGCAAGGTCCTTCTATAATATTTACATGCCATAATGATGGAATGGCTTTTGTGTCTTATTTTATCAACATTTCGATTTGATTCTTGCTTTATTTGAAAAATCTTTTTTTGTTTCGTATTATTTTCTTTCTAGGTTTCAGACACACTTAGTTAATAATTACTGGCGTTTGTAATCCTAGTCGGCTCCTTGGTTCAGTGTTGCTGGGTCGTATAGAAGATGCGTTCATTGAATGCCACCCTTGACTTGTTGATCTTATACTATCTTGCACTAATTCCATGCTACCTTGTGATTATGAAAAAATTCTGAGTGTCACCTGCTGTCACTGATCCCAAAAATCTTGTCAAAATACTTTCCTTTGAGCTTCATATCACCTCTTTACAAGCCAGGGAAAATTTCAAGTGCGACGACGAAAACGTAGCAGTTATCATATCATATTCTTACAATACTCTAGTTTGAAAAGAACAGACACATTCTTGGATCAAGAGTGGAGAAAAAATATATTGTGTTATACTGCCGCGGAAGGGGGAACCCTATCGTTGCATAAAGTCCTTGTTAAAAATGGCTGTACCAGGTCGGTGGTATTTACTGATGAAGAGACGTTTAAACCAGTGCGGCTATATCGTACAATATGTATTTTATTACACATTTACGCCAATAGAATGACATGTGCCAGGCGCATACTCATAAAAATAAATGCATCAAAGGCCGATTTGTGATACGCCTTAACTTGCATGGCGATTTCTTTACATATTAACATTGTTTATGTTCAGACATAGTTAAACCTTTTTTTGTTGCCAACTATTTACTCTTAAATTTATCAACACAAGACTAGGTATATTCGTGTCTGTCCAGCAAATGGCCAGGTTTCGATGGGAAAAAACTTGAAGAACAAATATCAACACTGAAAGGCGACATTCAATAAACGAAACTCAAAACGTAAAAAAAACTCCAGCAATACAGGACCACCATCTTACACCTTCCCGGTTTTATTTCGGGAGAGATCACTGAACGGCTTGAGGCACCTCTATGGCAATAATAGGCACTTGATGCTAGCCCAAATGATACTTGCACGTTTTTGTTTGGCCTAAGCCCAAAGTCAACCACTCAATATCGATTTACTTGTAATGTTAATGTACTCATTACAAAGACTTCGCGTTTCAGCAGTATAAAACAGCAGGGTTTGGCAACAGAAACAAAATCATCAGAGCCACATTTGGGTCGCATTGATCTTGTATGTCAAAACGGTTTCCAACCAATAACTAGCCAACCCATGAGATATATGCTCTCCAAATTCACAGGTATATTGGTCTTGGCCAGTAGATGATCCCCATTGGTTTTAAGGCTGCTGAGATAAAGGTCAAGGTAACAATGTCATTGTGTGTCAAAATAATTTTTGACCAATAACTTGATAACCAGACAGACAGACACTTCTTGTATATATCATATTGTACGATTTGTGATGACTTTGTCATAAAGTTTAGTCTCTATGGCCTAGTGACTGGCAATGACCAGTAGATAACATCTACTGATTTTGAGGTAACCAGGTCGAATGACCTGGCAACGTGACTAATTGGATGCCGGTAGGGAGCATACAGTCATGTTTAAAAAATTTACAAACATACCGTATCTTGTTACATTGGTTTTTACTGGATTAAATCGGATATTAGAGTCATTGGTTAATGAATTTCAAATAGAAATTGATTTCTGTATCTATCCAACATCAAAAGGATGTATTTTTAATCGGGTTATATGACTGAATTATCTAAAAAAAATCACCTCTTAAGATACATTAATTAATGTTGTTTACTCCATAACGTGATTAAACCAATCAGTTGCTTCAAATAGATCTGTTCATCAAACCTTTTATGGTTTGCCATTTAACATTACAAATGACTCATTATTCAATCGAGGATATTTAGGTAGATATATATAATTATCAAATTGTGACCTTTATTAGTGTAGTTATAGAACACAAGCCTCGTGATCGTGAGGTCAGGGATTCGAGTCATATTATGGGTAATGCAGATCCCTGAGCAAAGACTTACCCCTCTAAATATACGTTTCGGTTTTTTAAACATTTACCTAAGACCTGGAACCTGAAGTAATCAGCATTGGACACTTGTTTAGAGTCAGTAGATCTGTACATCTCTGGGGTCTGACCAGACCCTATATTTTTAATCACTAAATCTTATATTGCATTTTGAAAGTGAAACCCCTTGAAAATCAAAGGACGAGTTTCAAATTCAAAGGGAGGCAGGTTTATTTTATAAAATCAGCCAGTTTAAGAGTCGATATCATTAACATATATCAGTTATTCATTAGAATGTGAATTTGATATGCGTATCGCTTGTGTAGATATATATCAGTGTACATAAGGCTTTCTAATGCTTGCGCAGAAATATTTTAATGCATAAAGAAAGGGAATGTTTGCGCAGATATATTTCAATATATGAGGTGAGACATTGCTCACGTAGATATATTTCAATAAATGAGGTTAAGCATTGTTCGCGCAATTATATTTCAATACATGAGGTGAGGCATTGATCGCGCAGATATATTTCAATACATTAGGTTAAATTTGCTCGCGCAGATATATTTCAATACATGAGATGAGGCATTTTTCGCGCAGATATATTTCAATACATAAGGCGTTGTATTGCTCGAGCAGATATATTTCAATACATGAGGTGTCTTGTTCATCGCTAGGATATATTTTAAAAATAAATGTGGGATTGTATTGCTATGGAAGATATACTTCAAAAAATAGATAAATATAGAATCCCTAAAGAAAGCCCAACACGGCAAAATTGAAAATGTTGCAGGCTCGGTTTGATTGAGCCTGTTCATGGACGGTACTGTAAAGTGCAAACTACCGTCCACGCCCCCTAGCACCGGCTTAAGCAGAATTCAACATTTAGACGTGAAACAGTAAAATTTTGAATTTAGAAACATCCGCAGATGTATATCTGAAGTGTTGTATTGTTAGATATTTTTCTTGTTGCTTAAGTCATGCGAAGCGATGACTTCAGTCGATTATCCTTATGCATTTTATCATTTTATCGCATTAGTTTTTATCACTTTTCAACAAAATTATTCATTTAAGGATGGTATTTACATAATTATCGTATTTCAACACTTAATCAATTTGCCTTTCGGCATGCATGAATATTGTGCAAATTAAAAGCCTACTTTGTTACATGACTGAAACATAACGACTATGTTATAGGCATAGAAAAGTACAACAGTAAAAGTACAACCTGGTATTTGTAACCTCGTTCCCCACATTTTCTCACCCTACCCCCTTCTCGGAAAATTAAGCCAGTAATACATCTTGGTCTTTACAGCTATAAATTTTATTGACATATTTAATATATCTGTGTTCTAACTGAAAATAACTTAAAAGGCAATAAATTTTCATGTAACAAAGTTGCTATATTAGTATTCCTTCTAACACTGTATGATATCTATAAATAAATAAACGCTTTTATTGCAATGACAGCATTTAAAATTTCCCGACTAACAGACATTATGTATTTACTAACTGATTTACATTATCATATAATTATTGACACATTTGGAACGTTTTACAGAAATTATGTGGGTTTTGTGATACCTATTATAATATTGATTTGTTTTGAGCTTTATCAAAGGCCTATTTTGCCTCAGAAATCCACATTTTTTAATTCATAGAAATGTGAGACATGTGCTTAAAAGTCTTTTATTAATTTTTTAGAGTATGTTTGAAGCAGCACAAACTGTCAAGTATTGTGTTATAAATGTAGTAAAATGTAAACAAAGTAGTATTTTGACTTCCACAACGAATACAAATTCATTTTAATTTTACCAATTGCCACAGAGCAAAAGCAGTAAAAGGTAGTCTTCTATATGGCAAATGTGTAACTTTTTAAAAATTGTAATAAGATAGAACCCTACTAAACTGTAGCTCTTTCACATGTTGGTTATCTGTTTTAACTGGGACCAAAAATATTTTTGAGATTCTGTTTGAGTCTATCCATGAATACAATTGGAACAATTCCATATATCTATAATTATGAATGGTTTTGTTGGCTTCGTTACATTTGTGAGAACTCTTTCACATTGTCGATGGCTCGATCACATATGAGGAAATGTTGTTGTTGTTTTTTTTTCATTTTCATCCAAGCTCTGTGAAATATTTTTTGAGTTGAGCCAAAGGGGAGGTTGATATCATGTTCCATACATGATAAAGTTAACAGACATTCATTTACAGAAAATAAATTACCCAATACGTGTCTCAACGTAATGGAAAACATACAAGGTTATATTTGGTAAAAGTTCTTACAGCGTCATTTTGGGGTATTTCGTATCAGCATTGCATCCAAAATGATGAGATTTTTTACGTGGCATAGCATTCTTCGATAATTGAAAGAAGCATATTTTTGAAAACAGATATTTTTAGAAACTGTGTTGACCTTTTTTCTGCTTTGTTTTACAACGAAATTATGAGGACTGTCATTTAAATAGATCACCAATTTAAATGTGGAAGAGCAAGTTTTTAGTAGTGGTTAAGATTCGAAAAATTTGTTTTAAAATAGCCTTTCATTCATTTTAAAGTCAAAAAATAAAAAAGCTAAAGTTAATTTATAAAAGATTCTATATTCTAAACTATCCTGTTTTGTTTTACATTGATTACTTTTGTTTTCATAATATATAAGACTAGAAAGTAAATCTAGATGTTTTTCACACGCAAAAAAATGCTTTAGGTTTAGTGACTGCCATTTTGATGAAAATAAGATTTAAAGATAAATAACAAAAGTAAAAATTAAAACATCGCATATGTTTAATCTTCATGTAAGTTGACAAAATATGAAAGAATTTTTTCAGACATGTAAATAACAAACAACAATTCACCTTTATCATCATCTCACTATGCACTTCCAAACATTTAATCATATATCAAATACATTGTATACAGTGCGATGGAGCCAAAATGGCTGACACGTTGTTCAAGTGAGATAATTATGATAGAAATGGGAACTGTCGATCAAACAATTTCAATGTGCTGTTATAGTAACAACATCGTTCCATTTAATTATTTAACGCTGTTCCATTTAATCATTTAACACCGTTCCAACACAGTTCCATTCAAGCATTTAACACCGTTCCAACACCGTTCCATTCAATCATTTAACACCGTTACAGGTTCCATTCAAGCAGTTGTTAATACATCAACAAAATCACTTATTTCATTATTAAAACAAACAAAGCAGATGGTACTGATGTCCTGTCATTGCATTCAACAATAATTAAGGTACGGTTGAGTCACTCAACTATATGTTATGGACTCATGTAAATCTTCTACTGATTATTTAACTAAAATTTTATTGACGAATAACTTCATTAAGGCTTAATGTAAATTTTAAGATTAAATCACATCATCTGTTTCTACATAAAGAACTGATCAGAGTTACAATGTTTGTGAAACCTTAAACATGATTTGTTAGTTTCATTGAGTATAAATTCGAACCCTCAATGTTAAGGCCTGGCAGGCAGGAGCGGGCATTTGAGTAGAGCCATCGATCTTTCATAACCTAGCTGGAAGACCTTATCATACCGGAATTCTCTGACTGAATGTGGACCCGCAGTGGCAAAGGGCAAGAAATTCGAAATCAGCATCCTAACAATCCTGCCCAACTAACCCCGCCGCCCCTCCCTGTCCCTTCAAACATAGCGAAATAGCATTATTCATCCTATACAAAACAAGTATTGCGTAAATGTATACAACGTATACATTTAACAATAAACTAGCAAGTGAATTTTAAATCCTTATTTTGATATCATAAAACAAGTAAACATATTAAATACAGTGGCATTTATGATAAAAATATTGTATAGACAGGTTGCGTGGAAGAAGATAATGGATGAGAAATTAGCTTACAACCGTTCATGTTTCACCTTATCTGTTTGAACTCTATCATCGAAAACAAAAGTCACTTAAATAGTCTGTTAATTCAATAGACTAAGGTTTAACTTAGAAAAAAAATTAAAGTTCAGCTACAACCGGAAGTACTTTAATGAATAAAGTTATTCAGTTCTCTACACAATATCTCCGTTTGAGCACCCACAACTTGTCGTGTCTAATGTAACCATTTGTACAGTATCTCCCGGACACGGACACACACCACTAATGGCATCTGATCTGTCGTCTGCGTTCATGATGACGTAACCTTCTTTCTTTGGTCTGACACATTTCCCGCGGCATCTCTCCTCTTGACGCTCCCATCCTTTTCTAATTTTTGTTAGGTATCTATCGATACATGGTAGTGAATATAAGATTTTTAACATAATTGTTGTCCACGGTAGTATAGATGACAAGAATGTAATGGATTTAAAAATCTTTAGTGGACTTTTGGCCCAACCTGGTATGCCCATTACTAATACGTGGACAATTGATAAGAATAGAGCCACGTGGCCGATTTTTGACTGCACAAAACGCCACTCTCTCCAGTTTAATGTGTCGGTTACTGACGGTAAAGTTGAAACACACACGAAGCATAGTAGAATAAAGGCAAATATTCCTGTTAAACACGCAGCTTCTCCTTTCCATGTCATCCAGTTTATATTATTTATTTCGTGTACGTCAGTCAAATTATGCGGGATGACAAGTTTTGTAGAATGATACCATGATCTAAGATATGTTGGAGACATGATTAAAATCGACATCATCACGTGGATTGTTATCAATATAAAAGCAACAAGTCCAAGCTGTTTCCGGTTTTTTAGCCATTTGTCTAACCATCTTGAGAACCGGATGTGCTTCGTACCGTAATACAGCTGTAATGATGCTGCAAAACTGCTTGCTAAGTACGTCACTGATAGAATTGTGATCCCCGTCATACAGATAGCCTTGTTCATTACTTTGATAAATATTTGTTCCCACTGGTACACTGTCTTTTCAATGTAATAAATGTATATTAAATACAGCAACCAAATATTAAATACTGCAACGGTAAATCCACATGGACCTCGCCAGTCTGGAAACAACCTTAAAGGATGTTTTTCTATCCTGCGTGCTGCAAAGAGCCCGCCAAAGTCTAAAGGGGTAAAATTCATATTTCTTGCTATGTTTGAGATAGCATTTCGTGAGAGTTCATTGTTACTGGCAATAAAGACCTGTCGGCTGCTTGTATTGTAATCGTTTTCCATTGCGTAAGCGGAAATGACGTTGAAAGCTTTCACAACCGAAGCGTTTGGTATGAGTCTTTGAAGATATTCAGCATTGGATTGAGTTTCGCTGGGTCTGTCGCGGTTTGAAACATCTACAATAATTTTACCGTCCAGCTTGTCGGCATGCTCTTCTAGCAAGTCTTTGTAATTTTCAGCATGTATAGCAAGGAAGATTATTGACACTGATTTTATACATTCCTCGGTTGTTACAAGGCGCATGTTGCATAAACACTCGTCTATCGCAGAAAATGACTTTTCTTCCGGTCGTCTGCTTCCAAGGACGATTTCATATCCCGAGAAGTAGAGTCTTTTTGCTAAGGCACGTGCAAAGTCGCCGGTACCCAGAATGCCAAGTGGACGCTTTTGTTCTCTCATTGCGATGTCTAAAATAGAAAAATGGAACAAATATTTAATTACGTGTATAAAATTGAAAATAAAACCCGGAAAATACGACCAGAACGGTGAAACTGACGTTCAAAGCTAAATTTGACTGAGCCTGTTCATGACCATACCCCTCAAGCACCGGTTTAGCAGAAATCAACATTTCAACATGAAAATGGTGAGATTTTTCAGTCGTTGAATCAACAGATTGTCATAATAGCGATGGTTTGTTTTGTTTGTTTTTCTTTTTTTTTTCTTAATTCATTGATTTGTCTCCCCCGCACTTTCCCATAAAATGGTAAGATTTTAATCATTGAATGAACAGATTGTCATAATAGTATAAATTAATATGTAGTTAGCATATTGTTTATAAAAATGTTTAGTCCATTAACATATCAATTTCCTATAATCATTGACATAAACGTATTGTCGTAAGTTTGCTGATGTTCATCTCGTTTTATGTAATGAAATGCTAGTCCGAATACGTGACATTTCTCCTGTTTGAAATCGTTATAAATTTACCTTCTCCCTTTTCCAGGAACATAATCATTAAACTCTCCAAATTATTTTGTCACAGCTCGTATGAATTGAAATGTATCGAAAATGTTCCAAAGTTAATGAATCTTAAACATGATAAAACAGTTGACGCTTTGCGTGTTTCAATTATAAGTAAAATTTATCGAATAATGCGCATGATTTAATTCATGTAGGCTATTTATACGTTACCGTCAACAAATCTATTTATAGAATTACGTGGTTTCGTGACGTAAATTAAATTGATTTATTTAGTTCCCATTTTTGCACGATCATTATCTATGCTATTAGTTGATACATTTGAACTGATATAAATGTATAACAACTACTTGCTACAATAGCTACGATTTTAACATGTTCGTGTTATTTAACAAGAATATTATAGATTTGTAGGACTCTTAAATCGCCAATGTATGACTGACTCTTAAATCGCCCATGTATAAATCAGCATCATTTTCTTTTTCATAAAATATATTTGAATAAAAAATCAATTTAAATGTAATGATTAATTTTGAAGATAAAATATGTAAGTAAAGAATTTTTACCATTTCATGTCAAATGTTGAATTCAGCTTATGTCGGTGCTAGGGGGAGAGGACGGTACGTGTAGCTTGCATTTGCCACTACCGTTCATGAACAGGCTCAAACCTAGCCTGCGATATTTTTAATGTTCTTGTTTTGGGTGTTTTTAAAGGTTCCTATTTTTGCCATTTTATTTTTAAGTTGAAAATATTTAGTTAGTTAAAACTCGTCATTCCCGAAAGTCCAATATGATACATATGTATATATATTAAAATACGACCATGTTTTAAATAACGAGAGATGATGAGACCGAAAGACAAGTATTATAATGATTAAAGATGTACTCTACCCAAATTTGGTATTTGAAAATATTGACAATTGCTACACAGTCTTTTTTGTAAAATTTAAAATAAATATATTTTGACTTTATACAAAGTAAGCATGTAATGCTTTAAATCCTACACACTGTAAGTGGACACAATATGAATATACAGTGTCATTAAGAAAACCGGGCGCTTTTTTAAGAAAGGACAAGCTTTACTTGTTCCGTAATAAGTAACGTAGATTCCATAGTTTTACGTTCTTTTATTTAAATAAGACATATTCAGCAGGATTTTTTTTAGATTTTAACAAATTTCTGTAATAAAAATATTTTACTCAAAGATATGAGCCTGGAATATATTTAAGGGATTATAAATACAATTTCATTTTTAACAGAAAAAAATCTGAGTAGGAAAAAAACGAAAAAAGATGAAAAAAATCACAGAAGATGAATTTCAGGCCACTAACTTATTTAAAGCATAGCGATAAATCACTAAGTAATAAAATTTTGCAAATTATGTACGTTCTTAAGACGGACACTTTCCCAAAATAGTAAATTTACGTAAAAACAATTGAAGTGGGTTCCAAATGTGCTCTCGATTTTGACATTCTTGATATACATTTGAAATACATACAAGTCTTAATAGTATTTTTACGGCATTAAGCTCATAGTTAGCTTTTTACAAATTTAATAAGCCTCTAAACGGATAAGAGATCACAAACCCCAGCATAGTTTGTTTTACTTTATTTTATGCACGATAAGCCACACCGCAGCCGCCGCTCCCGGTAAAAATTTCAGACACTGTGATTTATGTAATTGTTCAATAATTTAAATCTTAAAATTTTTTTTTTATAAAAGTCAGATAAATATTTTGAATTGTTCGATTAATATTTATTTCAATTTAGGTTCAATGATTAAACAAGTGCGCCGTTTATTGTACTGGTGTACTTAATGTTACGTAACTTTACCTTTCGTGTTACTCGTGTTCAATGTAATGTTTCAAAAATCATGAAATGCAATAGCTTACACTTAACGCCTGGGCAAGCCAACTCATCCTTTTCCAAATATGATCTAGATCTGCTTCCGGTTAGGGAACATCACCAGGAAGAAAAAATAAAATAAAAAATAACACGTAATTAAGGTCTCAAAATGCTAACTTTTGATTGGTTTATCCCTTGAGAACGAAATGTTTAAAAGCACCCAATCCTTATTTATTCATTTAAACGCAATTTTCAGATAATCCGATAAGGTATAATTTACATTTGTAACTAAATTACCTGTGAAATATCACTGTTATCAGATACCCACTTTGCACCAAACTAATATCAACTTTTAACCGGTCAAAACGACATTTGTATAAAACCTACCAAATAAAACCTAAGTTAAACCACAAATAATATCAAAAACAAAAACGTCGGTGTCAAACAGGTGCGTTTTGCCCTGTAATGAATAAGGACCGATTTAAAATGTGAGTCATGTGTCTTTTCCAATTAAAACTTTATCAAAATGAAACAATAACATATTTATCAATCTTAAAATAAACTTCTGAAAATTGATAAAAAGTTTTTTTCTCAGCGCGTCCAGTCAGCAGTTCAGTCAGGTCACCGCATACAAATGGCCATTACTTGACATTCTATTTTTGTATCAAGTTATGTTTTGCGTATCTATAAAAGGAAACCATTTAATTGTTTATGGTTTGTCGTTGTGTTTTTGTTGTTTTTTGTGAGTTTATGTTTTGTTAATTTGTATTTAAGATGGCTTTAACACACTTTACAGACGGTTTAAGTTCAGGTATAAATTATTGACGTGTACAATTAACGATTAGATATATATTTTTATGATTTTGATATTTAATACTATAATTAACACGACAACCTATGTATAAGCTACACAAATCAGTGAATGAAATAAAATACATAACCTTAATAGTGATTTTGATGCGGGAGACAAGCCATTATGTGTTTGCATGGATTTTTATTTTTTAGATTTCAAAGTATTACTTTTGCAGCTTTTTATCTAAAATGATATGAAAATAGATAAAACGGAGACATTTTCAAGACCTAAATCCCCGAATCTCTGATTTTTCGTTGCTGTATTCAGACAAGGTGTCTGAAAAAGAACGCCAGTTCGAGCAATGGATTATGGTCATTAATCAGAAAATGTTTCCGAAACTTCTTTTTCCTTGATATACATGTGTATCTCTAGTTCAAGCATACACATTCGAGACAATGGATTTATTTATTCTTTTATGTATGAATTCTTATAGACGTAAATATATGTTAAACAAATAAAATGAAAAAGTTTAAAATTATCGTTATCATCATTAAAAAACAATAGATGTTGAAAAATCAAGTATTCAACGAATAGGTCGATAATGAAATACTTCTTTTGTAACTTAAAAAATTAGGTTTTACAATATTTTCCTATGTTCTTTTTATGTTTTATAAACTATTTTTGCACGAATCACGAAAATATTAACAATAAGTACGTTTTAAAAGCCCATGTAAACAATTAAAAAGTTTTTTCGTGGTACTGTGCGTTTAGGATAATTATTTAGTGACGCGGTGGTCAAGTCCACTATAACGGTTTAAATCAGTTATCATATTGATTTTTATCTTCAAGTCAAGCAGGCTTGACATACAAATTAAAATATCGACAAATTTACCAACTGTCGGCGTAACGCAATAGGTAAAGTTGTCTGCTAAATTGCTAGTTTCATATCAATGCAAGACAGCCAGGTTCGGTCCCAAAATTTTCTGTTTAATCATCAATCTAGTAAGAATATGTTTTTTTTTTCTTGTAAAAATTATATTTGCTGTGTTATTTTCTATTAACTTCTCATTTGTCATATTAAACAAGTTAGTGTAACCTCATACGGAATGTATATATGTACATAAATTTATTCAACTATAATTAAGTTGGCATGAAATACTTGTGCACAGCAAAAGTACTATGAATATTATATATATATTACACACTAAACAGGATAAAAATTATTATTTCCGGTATATCTAAATTAGTCCATAGTATAAAAAAACTGCGTTTATATTCCAATTCATGTGCATCTAATGTAAAATTTAAAAAAAAAAATAGGGAAAGAAAAAAAGGTGAGACAACTTGTGAGGCTCGAACTCATGATAAAAATTTAAATTGTACGTCATCCTATTGACTTTACCAACTTTGCCATCGAGTCATTTCAAATACGTTAGCTTGTCTTGTATTATATTGGCTTTTAAATACCCTGTTTTACCTATTCGGACAAAGGTTGTAAACTTTTGTGTACACAAACAATTCAACGTCACTCTCACATTATCATAGCGGCACAGTACAATAATGAGATTTAAGGAAAAACATAATATGTTATAAAACTAAAAGTTACGCTTTTAATGTAAAACATCAATCATGGCGGACAGAAACGACAGATTAACATATGGTTAAACTAAATTTGTAGTAATGTCAACAAACACCTACTTTTTTTTCTAAAAATATCTTTTTTGTCTCATAAAAGATAGATAGATGTGTATTTATAACTTTTTGTAAAAACACTCTCGTTCTTTCGTTTTTTGCAACACATGTTTTCTCCGTTTTTTGGATCACAGCTTGAAACGTTATTAAAGCTCATTCAAAAATTTTCATAAAATATAGATAATTTTATATTTTGAATTTGTTGTTAAAGACTTTCTGTAAAACGGTTTTGCAAAAGATTTTTCATTTTCCAATTTTATCTTAAGATCAAACCTTTATGCCTTATGAAAAGCTTTCAATATGTATATTATTTCATTTATTTAGTGCAGAAAACTGCAAAACTGACTAAGAATGTCCATTAATCGTGAAGTTTCAGCAATAAATGCAATAAAATGACGTCATTCATTTTGATAGATGGTCGGAATTAGATATGCAAATATGTTCTTAATGATATATTTCATCCATAAATTGTGCACGTAGTATTAAAACATTTCCTCTTTTAAAGTCTTTTAAATTCTTACAAGAAAATGAACATACGTAGCAACCTTAATAATATAATTATATATTAATTTGGTTATAACGAACGTGTAAATCAAGTCTGCAAACGGGTCTGTCCTAAATACAAAGAATATCATACAAACTAAAAACAAAATAGTTCATTGCTTCTAAGTTAATATTTGAAGATTATGTTTGACAGAGTGAAAAAGGGTTCGAAATACTATCGTTGCGGATTGATACTTGGTTACCAATGACCACGCTAAATCTTATGAATGGACTTGTCCATTTTTCCAGCTGGACAAAAAACATATCATTTAAGGATGTTTGGTCTCAAAATATGTTCTGACTGTATGGTGAACAGGGCAGATCCAGATTAGGCGGTACGTGTGTGCCCACTGGTCTTGGCATGCACATGTTGAGTAAGTAGAATCTGTTGCTGCCAACAACCAACTAAGAGATAATTAATTGTTATAAACTCAATGCGTATACAATACAATCATATAAATATAAGAGTACAGTTTCATAGATGGTACGTATTTTAGCATATCACTGAAATCTCTTAGGTTATCTGATTAAAGTACATCATTGAAATCTTATAGGTTTGATGTAAGTACATCTCTGAAAACTCATAGGCTTGATATTTTAGAACAATATACATTATCTTTTCTAATTGTCTGGGCAAAACTGATATCACTTTATTTAAACACTTTTTTACTTATATAGGTTATTTTGTTTTTTTTTTCATAAAAGACTTGCATGAAGCTTAACGCATGATTTTACACTAAAATATAAAGAAATCACCGTTATAGGTGAATTTTACTTCACTTCCTGTACATATTTATAAACTCGTCGCGTTTATTTACGTTAAATACCTTGATTTAATTGATTTACGGAGTACTTTTAGTGACACAGTTAACATAACCTAAGGTAGGCTGCAATCGGCTGTGTTTACAGATATGTAATGCTTTTTAAAATGTTGTTGTTGTGATTGTTGTTGTTGTTGTTGTTGTTATTGTTGTTGTTGTTGCTGTTGTTGTTGTTGTTGATGATGATGGTGATGATTATGGTGATAATGATGATGATGTAGTACCAATTTACACTAGTTCATTTTAGTCCGTCCGTACGACTAACGCTAGGTAACGTTTTTACTCTCGCATTGATAAAACTGAGATTCTGTACATGATACATGTGTATATTATGTAGAAATTGGCTAAATTTATTTGTTTTATATTCAATTTTCCATAGATTTTATTCATTCACGTGTAATACTACGTATAATGAAATAGCAAAAAACAACAGAATCTCAAAAAGACGCCCGAAACAGCTTAATTGAAAATATTGCGGGCTCAGTTTGATTGACTTTGTTACTGGGTGGTAGTGGTAAAAGCAATCTACCGTTCACGCCCCCTTGCACCGGCTTAAGCAGTATTCAAACATTTATACATGAGAATGGTGAAATTTGAAATGTTGAATCATCTTCTGATGTGTTCATACATACGGCCAAGGCCGACATTATTTTTTTTATTCTAGTATAATGTGTACTATAAGGTAAGATTATAATTAAGTAAGACGGTGAACAGTTCATCTAATATGCATAATAAAGCGTTGCCTTCATTAACTTCATTTCTTGCAAACTATTTAGTATTCATATAGATGTATGCAGATATACATAAAGCATGTTTATCACCTTCGAATGAACAAAGACAAATAATAAACTTCATTCATGTCGCCGCTATTTTCTATCTACAAATTTACATATGGCATTTTAAAAATGACATAACATCTTAAAGTTATTCTCCTTTATAAAAATGGGCCAACAATTACTGTTTTCATTTCTATTTTTATCCAATGACCTTTAATGCAATTAGAACATACTCAAAATGATAAATTAGATAGTTATAATAATACTTTTACTCCATGTGTAGTAAAAAACTGTAGTTCAACGTATGTATGTATTACGTAAATGTAGAGAAAATGGACGTTTCATGGTGTAATAATTTTATAATTTTATCTTTGAAAAAGAAAACAGGTGAATACATGAAAATTGGTTTATTTTAAATCTGTTTCATCGAATTTTTTGGTGCTTTTAAAATATCTTATTTTAGACGGCGATCGTTATGCTCGTCTAGCCTTATTTATAGTGAAGATATAAAAAAAATCGTTTCAAAGAATATACCCCTGAATTTAATTTGAATTACAAAGGAATGAAACATATGTTGTTGCTTTTTTTTTCTTTTTGGAAAAATGACGATGTCATAGTCTATTTTAAGAACCGCACAAAGCTCACCTAAAATCAGTCATTTTACATCACATGTATTTTGTAACTATAACTTGGTCATGATGGTAATCATTCCAGCTTTAAGATTAAAACCCAAATTCATGCTTAAAGTATATAATAGTTTTATTACAAAATATTGAGAAAAACAAACAACAACAATTTACAGATGGGTTCGGCCATACATATTAAAACTGATCATTTTTCTTATTTCATTTATAAACTTGTTTATAGTCTTAAAATGACGTTTTGAAAAAGTTTAAATTAGTATTTCGGATGAATTGCTTTTACACATTCCACTTAGTTTATACAATTTCATTTTAGTTCGATTGTGTTGGAAGCTATAAGCGTATTGAAACACTCTCGAATCCGTTCCTGAAACCAATAGCAATGCGTGTAAAGAATGCGGCCACTGACTGGCTTTGACTCACGCGGCAAGCCATTTGGCCATTCCGCCAATCAGTCCATTCCATTTGAAAGGATTCATTTAGTTTATACGTTATACATGTACACCGGGAACGTTTCGGAGTCACTCGGTAATGCTTTGCAAATATTCGGAATACATTTTTAAACTGATTATACGGTTTTGAAAGTGTTTTACCATATTATAATCAATAGTTATATTAGCCTGGGATGTTACAGTGATTTTACATAAAAGAAAAGAAAAGAAAAACAGATCAAGTTATTATCATAAATCACTTTAACTGCAATTATTTATAGATCATTATAATAAATCCCCCATAATTATGACTCCCACATATGACAATTATATCATTTTACTATGGTTTACTATATTGCCATGAGGTAATTACAATTTATGAGGATAGTTCAATCTGTCAAATAACAGTACACGGCATTTTGCTCCCAACAGTCTTCTTTTATCTTATCCGGAAATGAAAACAAATTTTGTTAATTGCAATATTCAAATCTATAAAATATTTGAAGTTAGTTAAGCAAAATTCACGTATTTTTCTTGTTCCTGTTTGTGTATGTATCCTGGGTATATGTATCTATTATCACATGTTATCATTGAAAAGATGTAAAGTGATACTTTTAGTTTCTAAAATTCCTTACAAAAATGCCATACGAAAGAAATATCAAACCTTAAACCATACGATTACATTTAAATCGTGTACTTGTTACCATTCGGATCGCAAAATAAAGAAAATATGTACCTTTAGGTATTTTATTGGTATTTCAAGTACTTATGGAACTTTGTAGATTTTACTTATTTTCAACTTAAAACACACCCGGAGCACCTCGCAAATTGTTTGTAATCATCCCGGAGGTAATACGGATTGGAAAAGAAAGTTCTACCAAATGACCTTTGATGAATAAAGTAATATGTGTATAATAAATTACAAAATTTAATGTATTTATTTAAAAACTGCCAAAAAGATAAGTCTATTAAGGGACTGATTGAGAAATATATCGGACAACATGAATCAATTATAAAATGCATACTGATAATCGTAAAATTATAACCAAATCCTAAATTATCAGTTATATATTTCTAAATTTCGTTGTTGTTGTTTTGTTTTTTCAAATATAGTAATTAGTCTATAAAATAATGTTCTTTTTTTATTTTTATATCTATATATCTACTAACTAACTTAAAGTCGGTCTGTACACAAGTCAACAAATCTCAGCATTTACATTGATTACATGTTGTAGAATGGGTAAGAGAGAATAACGTAACATTCTGTGAGTGAAGCGTCGAGAAAAGATGCAATTGCTTGCGTTAAATCTCCAAATGAGATAACATTCATAATGTGTTCAAGTCCAGACACATTTTCTTTACTTCACACATTTCATGTTAACAAGAATGAATGTAGTAAGTAATAAGTACAGCGTTAGTCGAGGTTCTTTAAACATAATGTATATATAACTTTAGTGATAAAAATATATTTTAAAGGGTATATTTGATCTTCATAAAGAAGTTTACGTTAATACAATTACATAAATTGATCAGGGTACTTAATCTTAATATAATACATGTATTCAATTAGTTATCACTAATACTCAAATACGATTGTTTATATGAATAATTGTTTTAAAAAAGATTAAATCATTAAATTATATTAATATTAGTCTTACCTTATATGAGAATGCTATCCATTTAATCTTTAAACATTAAAACATTAAATTTTGTAGAATATTGCATTTTTTTGCAATTCAAGAAATTTTAATGCACTCATCAGTATATATTATGAAACTAATCTATCAAACTTTAGAAAAAAAGCAAACAACGTTCTGATATACATCAAATATAATTAAAAGATGAAATCATCTTACCAGAAAATGACATCCGAGTAAACTTTGATGAAGATTTATTGGCCATGTTTTTGTCTCGTTGATAATGAGGCTAGATGTCTTTGTGTCGTTATAACATCGTCTGCTTCCCTTCATTAAACCGCCATGACTCGAGGATTTCAGTCAATCAGACTACATGTATATCCAGTATATTATCCAATTGAATTGTAAACTTCACGAATGTGTATAATCTTATGCTTAATTTCCTCAATTTGCATTATTAATGCGCACCGTTTACGGCATCACCGTCAGCGACGCTTTCAATTGTTTTTGAAACATTTAATTTTATGCAGGCATTTACCGACTTGAATATGACCATACAAACTCGAACGTACACCAATCGAGTCGTGATATGTATGAAACAAATGCCCGAAGGCTGGTAAGAATAAATCGTTTGTTTTCCTTAAATAAAACGACTGTTATAGCGTGACAAGTTGGGTGATTAATAGGCTAGTTATGACCGTCAATGTTATTATGATAGTTTAACCTCACTACATTCTACATCATCATGCCTTAATGAAGCAATCTTAAATATGATATAATATATGTTTGTTTTTTAATTATATCTTAGTGTCTTATGTGCCGTTTCTCTTTACTTAAATTTATATGATTTGAAATGGTTATATATTTGCCTTTTAATAATTTTCTTACTTTATTTATTTTATTTATTTATTTATTTTAAATTAATTAATTATTAATGATTAGTTAATAATATATTCAATTATTTATTCATTTAAAATATTTTTTTATTATTTTTTTCCATTAGTTAGTTAGTTAGTTAGTTTGTTAGTTAGTTAGTTAGTCAGTTAGTTAGTTGGTTAGCTTGATATTTGATTTACAGTTGTATGTTGTTTTATTTAATTTTTTTCGTATTTGCCAATTTCTTCAGCTGTCATTTATTTTTCCCTGTTTGTCGTCTGTCATTATTTATTTTATTCTATTTTTCTTTTCGGTCAATTGTTATTTTTTATCTATTCTTATTTGCAATTAAGTCTAATGACTGTTCATTGCAATTGGTCTAAAAAAACTCTATATGTTTAATTTGACATTTATCATAAACAACTTTTTTTCTTATTTGCAATTTGTCATTAATTAATATTTAATTATAAAATTAACGTTTCAATGCAGACATGTTAATCGTGCGTAATGCGTGCACTATTAATAATCTCCCTTATGATTAATGTTTTAATAATTTAATGTAAATTAAGCAGTGTATCAAATAAAGTTCTTAAACCGATCAATTTTAATTTACTTTATAAAAATAATTGCAATATGTTTCTTTTCAAAATACCGCATTGTATATAATTATATATATCTGCAGGTGTTATCATAGGGTCACCAAATGATCTGAAATAAAAACAAAACCGCTATCGTGACCATATGTCAATAGAACTGAATGCTCAGAGAATTATCATGCTTATGAGCCATTGCCAGTAAGTTAGAGTGTCATAAATCTAGAGTTACTGCTCGACATTATCGCATAATGGCGAGCAATAACCAAGTTTGAAAGAATTTAAACGGCGTTAAGATATCAATCCTATAATCGTAGTTGTCGCCCTTTCTAAGACAGGGATAGTTGTCAATGTAAACACATACATGTATATCATTAAATATGACAGACCAACCAGAAACCTTCGATTATATTACAATTATATTAGAAGACAAGAAAACACTAAACAACAACAACAACAAACTGTTATTTAATAGTGGTTTGTGTTCTTTTTTTTGTGAGAATAATGTTTAGTGCTAGTTTTACTATGAGCGTTGCTGATGAAAATTATCAGTTCAGAAATCAACAAGCTCAAGATGAGGTTGTTAATGGTTCCATATCTACATTATTTTTCTCATTTACTTTGTCTTTAAGTTTCTTAAGATTTATCTCGAGATGTACTTCTAGATGTGGATATACTTTGTACTTTATTTGTTTTCTTCAAGCGTACAGGTCTACATTCAATCTGAAGTCAGCTAAGGAAATTCTACGGTTCACGTTCTGACTTTAGCACAGTTTTTGTATTTTTATCGAGTTCATAGATACTCAATAATAAGCTTTATTGATGTCGCGTCATTAACTAAATCTAAAAGTTTGTTTAAAAGCGATTACACATACAGAAACAGACAAAACCACCTGACTAATTATAATAAAGTCAAATACTAAGATAAACCTCCTTCAAAACTAAAATCATTCTAGTGATCTTCATCTTTGTGTGCATAATGATCTTAGCAAAATGTAACAAAGGTCTCTAAAATCATAGGAAGAGATTATAACCTTTTGAATATGTTGCGTGCTTTTTCAAATTAGTCTTTTAGCGTACACTGCCTGTGATGTGTAGGCTTCATAACCTGTAATCCAATTTCAAGGTTTTATTTTGTTTAGTTTCGCGTATTTTCTTTCCCTGTTTAGAACACACACATATTTTTACTTAGGGAACAGTTGCTGCTTTTCACGGAACGGAACGGACGACATATTGAAGGTTCCATGATCGCCATTGTATAAAAGCAGGTGCGGAAGTTTCTAAATTAATTCAAATTTCGCCATTTATCATGTTTAACTTAAGCCATTGCTTGGACACGTTAACGGTAGCTTTAACATTCCGCTATCATTTATTAACCAAACCTAGGACTTGGTATTTTTGTCCCAGACCAAACCGAGTCTTAAATATTTTCAGTTTCTCTGTTATGGGCTTTTTTTATTTGAAATTTCTTTTTTTATTTTGATACCCAGCAAAACCATTAACATTTAATGCAAGAAATAATTTTCCTTTCTTTGCAATTATAAGATGCAGATAGTTCCAAAAGTAACATTGACTCCAGAAACTATGTTCTCCTAGATCTATAGTGTATAAGTCAAGATATACAAGTAAAAAATGTACAAAAAGATTACGTTGTTAAATATATATTTTGATATATGAATTGAACTATACCAAAGAAAGATATAATAACATGACATATAATACATTATTAAATGAATCTGTACCATTATTCTAAGTCAGTATTTTAAATATTAAGTTGGCAGAATTTATATAACCAAATCTATTCAATTAGTCAAAATAGAAAAGACAAATTTTTCTGGAGCAAAATATATTTTCGGAAACGATTACTTCTATTATTTCACGCCTTATACAATATATAACAAAAGCACTTTCAGCCATTATACCACGTGATATTCCAACATAAATCATTCTTGGACCATTTCTTATCAATTTAGCCTCGTTTTATATCCAGAGTCCAAAACGTCTGTATCAAGTTCAAATCACACCACATTTAGACTCGTGTTCATTTCCACAGTCCAAAATGTTCATATCAAATCCACATTACCCCCCATATAGCCTCGTTTTTATTTTAGAGTCCGAAATATCTTAAACAAATTTATATTGTACTCCATCTAGCCTTGTTTTCATATCGAGGCACCAGAATCCATTGAAATTGAAGTAAAAATGTTCTGACAAAATGTCAAAAATGTTGGTGTGAAATAAAAATGGTAATTAAACATGGTGGAAAACAATACTGTCTTATTTTATTGGACTTGTATCATTGCGAGTGTGGAGAATAACGAAAATTTATATATAATAACTCAATATATTGATTATTCGAAACTGGTTAAGTAAACATCAGCAATGCTTCAAAGCTTGTTTTAAATGAAGCAGTACACTTCAATCAAGTCTTGCACTTCAGTAGCCATCTAGATACATATACTCTTCAGATACTGCATCGAATTCACACCTTGTTGAACAGCATGTTCCGATTCCCTCCATGCCATTAGCAATGCCGCATGTTGCTGTTTGATGTTGGCCTCGTGCTGCTTTATGCACCTTTCTATGTCCTTTTGGTCAAGTTGGAGGTCTTGGCCAAATGTATACACATCCTTTGTGATTCCCTGAGCCAACTCAATAAGTACACCATCAGACATTTGTTCTGTATTAAATGCAAATATTAAAGACAATTAGCTGATGTTTCGCTTTATCGTAAAAGAAAGCCATTAAATAGAACAAAATAGAACAAGAAGCTGTCGTCATATGATTTCAGACAATCTATTTTGTTTTAGCTGTATTTATATAACAAATGAATGCAATGATATATAATTAATTTATTTTTTTATTTTTATTTGTTTCTTTATCACACATGGAGATCGTTTTTACTTTCAACATTTTCGTTTTAAACTAAACGTTTATTCATTATTAAATAAAACGTTGTGTGGTTTTGAAAGGAATAATAAAGCAATGTCAAGTTCATTATATTGTCGTTTAAAAATGCTTATGCTATTATTATTTTAGAAATGGTTATAAGAATAAAAGTTATTACTTATATTAAATTCTGCTGTTATTATGAATTAGAGGATCTATATGGTTAAGTTATTGTTGTGTTTAAACAAAATGTACCTTTTTGATACCGCAAGAATTTTACACAGGACTCCGCAACATCACCATGTTCAGTTTGTTTTAAAGCTACCAATATAGGATTCACCTTTAAAAGATATATTTTCCTAAGCAAGCGATGAACCAAAATGTTAATCAAACTAACACTAATTCCTTTAAATTAGATCATTATTTGCCATTAATTGTAACATCCTGTTACAGAAGCAATAACCTTTTTCATAATTTTGTTTAATTTAGAAACGAATTTGCAACATTTTCTTTTTAACAATTTGTATTATATTTGAAATACATAATTTGTCTGTTTGCTTTTGCCCAAGAAGTATAGAAGAGAATGGTTATGGTCTTCAAAATAATCATTATGATATATCAATTATATTCGTACCTTATCATCAGCTATTGCCTGTTCTTTCAACCAGTCTAATAACATCACCTTACATATGGATGTGTCTGTTTTTTCTTCCAATTTCCGTGAAGCAATTCTATACTTCGTGGCAAACTTGCTGCCTCCCAGAAGACATTTTAAAACTGTTCCCCACGTGCCATTCATGCACAGGGTACTAGCCAAAAACGATGATAGTGATGTCACTGTTAAAAACGTAAACTATAATTTTGATCATGATTCAATATACACAACTTTTATTATTCATCGATATAATTACATAATGTTTAGAATAGGCAAGGAGGAGCACCTGAAGTTTTCCTACACCAGTAATACTGGAAAGTCCAAATTTAACATTTAAGAGTGTTATTGCGATTTACAGCCTGACCACAAACCTAGAGGAGTAAAGGGTATTTCATACATACATGTAATTCATTTGATGCATGCATTATCTTCCTTCATGCTTAATATAAGACCATGACAAGGGCTGTTTGTCGTAGCTTAGATCTTTAGAAGTGGCGGCATGACCGAATGGTTAACGTTTCAGACTAATAATCTAACGATCGCTAGCCGCATGTGTCAAACCCCAACTGGGGCAAATCGTTGTTTCCTTGAACTAGGTACTGTCCACTTATTGCTCAGTAAGGTATGATTCGAAAGTGTTTCTATAGCCTATTAGGCTCATAGGTTCCTTTCCTACAAAATCGACTCTAAAGTATTCTCTGTATAATCCAAAAGATATGTAAGATATAAATATAATTGTCGTTCATTTAATATTAAGCAGTATACTTACAGTAATAAGGAAGCCTTACTCGTACTGCGTTGATTGTTATGCGTTGTTTTCGGGGCTGAAACGTGTAAAGCCAACTATTTTGACAACTGGTTTTTCTTTTTACTCTTTAGGTTTTAATATATGCAGGTTAATTCAGAAAAGGTAATACTAATAAGAATTTAGTACCTTACAGTATTTGTTGATACTTTTATCATATATTATGGTAAATGCATTATACATTATGTCAGAATTGTTTACAAAAGATCCTAAAGAGGTGCCTTGCGAACATTAAGAAGTAGAACAGTCCCAATAGTTATTGAATTGATACAAGTCCAACAAAGTTTGTTTTCATTTAGGAATATAGTTGAGGATGAAGCACATGTTTGTTACATTGTCCTCTTTACGATTCAATTATATTAGAATAACTGTAATCAGCTGATAGGCTTAACAATGGATTCGATAATCTACCTGATAATGAAAAGGTCGAATGCATATTATCTGATAATGACATAGCAATTTTTAGTGCCGAAACATGTTATCATAATTTAAATCAAAGAAAACTAGTTTTAAATCAATAGTAACCATAACAAATCTTGTGTTGTATATAAGCATTCTAGTACTGTATTTTACTTGTTCTAGTGCTTATAAATTTGTTTTAAGGATACAATGTCATGTATACCCAATGTTTTTATAATTTCCTTTGTTACCTTGTAACATTATTTTACAACCATTTAGAGATTGTGGAGCCTTATGCCGTATTATACTTTAGTCCTTTAACACCCTAGACAGTTTGTTTTCATTCACCGATTACCAAAGGTTCTTTAGATTTACCTTGTACTATATGTACATAAAAGAGACAGTCTACTTTCGTGACGTTTCTGTATATACAGGAGTAATATATGTACATGTATTGATCATGTGATATTTCTGTTGTCTATGACCTCTGTACATGTTATGTTGATAAAGAGTCTCTTGCCGGTGATTCTGTGTTGGGGAATGCGTTCATTGAATGGCACCCTCCTTTTTCACTTTGTTTTTCATTTCTTATATTTGTTTTAAGATTTACAATGCACTATATTAAATGACATGTTTTATTTATGTATTTTTACTGTGTATATTGATGAGACTATGATAAATGTTTAACAAAGTAAAATATAAAGCAACTACCTTTGGAAGAGATATCACTAATTCAACTTGAGATCCGTCCTCATCTAGTGTGTTACACATGATTTTGCCAATATAATCTGGAAGGTCTTTTTGCTTCCATGAATCTTTCACACGAAGTGACAAGTCTAAAGATGCGCCTCCCATATACGTCAAATAAGTTAATATTGGCTTAAATACGATACAGAACAATAAAATAATGGCTCAACAATAAAAGATATCGACTATAATACGATGGAGAACAATAAAAGATATAAAAGATATTGGCTAAAACTTAATACATAATAAAAAAAAGAAATTAAAGATATTGGCTACAGCATGATATAAAACAATGATAGAAATAAAAGATATTGGCTAAAACATAATAAAGATTGATTATCGTCAGATATATGTATATTTTCATCTATTACAAAGAAGTTAAAGAAAACTACTTATAAGTTAATATAAAATAATATATTAGTAGTTTGAGAATTTGTATTAATCGATATGAATATTTATGTAGGTATGTTTGACGTTACTTGAATGTCATATTGCATAATTCTTTGCAAAAGTGTCATGTAAGTAATAGGAGTGTCACTTTTTCTAAAATTTCATAATTTTAAGTCAATGCTTATGATTAAAAGGCTTTAAATACTGTATGGTTCAGAATCTAATGATTTTAAATCATTTACCTTACTATCCTTTTCACTATTAAAGTCAATGTTTCCCGTACAGGAAATCTCCACCTTCTGACCCTCGTATAAGCTAAATTCATTGCTTACATCTGGACCTAAAATACTCAATCAATATGTAAATATATCTATTTACTTTCACTATAGAAACATGCATAAGCGTAGAAAACAATGGTGCTGCATCACACAGGTAGGAATATTATCTCATTATTTACTGTTATCTTAATTAAAAAGACATATAACATATTTAATAAAATATGACAAACAAGATCATTAAGGAAGGGCGGCGTTCAATGAACGCAACCCCTAAAGAACCCAACAACACAGGACACAAAGTCATACCTTTTGTATATCCATTTTGTTCAAGAAATGCTATCGTATCATTTAAAATCTCTCGCCTTACAACTCTAAGAGCACATTTTGTCATATCACCTTCTTGTTGTTTAGCGACCAAAACAACGTTGGTCTTGTTGATACATTTGTGCAAAGCCTCCGCTAGTAGTGGTACATTGTCCTTTGGAAAGCTAGCCGGCACATCTATCTCCATAACTCTATCATTTCAATAGCATTATATTCAATTATATCTTCGAAAAAATTAATAATAGCTCTAGCAGATTCAATTTTATCTGTAGCATATGTAACTATAGCATATATTCAATGTAATAAATCTCATTTATCTGTTTGTAAGGCATTTATATTCTTATAAAGGATTCAAATACCAGCAATGCTTTAGAAATTAGAAAGATAATATCATTTAAATGTCATCCGCATAAACTGAAACATAAGACAAAATAGATATAACAAATAACGAAATAATCGGACAGTTATTGATTTGGATTCTTAAAATGATCAAAAAAAGAAGATCAAAATGTACGTGTATTTGTTTCTTCCAGGAGGAAGTGTCACTGTTATATCATCATGTTGTCCTTTAAATCCAACATCAGCAAATTTCCACGATTTGTCTCTTGATGTCAAGAGTTGATATGCTTTTCCTCGACGAATATTTCTAGTGTCTGAAATGTGTTTTCATTTCGTCATTATGCCTCAGATATGCTATCATTTTAATTTCTCAAACACGTTTTTATTTTTCCTATCTTGTCACAGTTTCTACCAAAATACTTATCAGCTTTATTCATAAACTTTCTTCTGCTACCTTTTCTCCGTTGGCAATTGGTATACTTAAAATGAATCAGTATTTTGTATGGAAGTCAAATACTTCTTTATTTACATTTCGCTACTTTAACAATACATAACTACATGTTCAGGGCCACTTTTCTCAGTTATGTAACATTTAGCATGCTTTAAATTCATTATCAAAACATTATTAAGCACATGTCTGACATTTCTAAGGAATTAAAACATATGAATTTCCGAGGCATTTTTCTGTGCGTTTATATAGATATACGATTGAAATACATGTATATGAAAAATGCTGGTCAAGAACATGCTTCTGCAGAAAAGGTGATACAATTTCAATGCTCTTTAAAATCCCTTTACCTTTGCTTTTTGTAGATTTTAGATCAATCTCAATAGCAATGTCCGGTCGTTTCGCGCATAACAGTGTCACAACAGAGCTGGCAGCCAGTACGTTGTCAAAATCCTCTCTCTCCTTCTGGAGCGATGAAATGGTGTCATCTGAGACAGATTGTACCTGGATGTATAGAACATTGATCAAAGTTTAGAAGCTGTTGAGCAGTATTGAGGGAATTGAGAATACCGGGTATGTTAATTTTATATAACCTACAACTATTTTATCAAATAATTATGTAGAATACTTTATTATGCTTAGGCATAATCTTAATATTAAGGTACATTAAAAACCGGAAATGATATAATATTTTTTTCTCAAAACCAATTTATTATTTTGATTGTAAGTATGTTGTTTCAGTTTCTCATCGGCATGATTTTTTGTTCCTTTTGCACTTTTGACTTTAGTACAGTAAGAGTGATTTAGTATTTGTTAAAGTAAAAATACCACTTTGCGAACATTTTCCTACTTAAATGACAAATTATTTCACAGTTAGCGGTACATTACTCTCGTGTGAATATCATAGTGATCAATTACTAGAATTAAAAATGATAAAAGAACAACAACAACACATGTATGCCTGTTCTTAAGAAAAAAGAAAATGTACTAACTTCTAAGAATGTAAAATATGCCTTAAAGCTTTCTATATCAAATTCGTCGAAATACTTGCCATAAGTTTTAGTTCAGTTTCCGTGTTAAACGCATCTCTTGGGACAAAGAGCCTAACGTTTTTGTCCATTGTAGACTGTACGGAAATACCAGGTTTATCAACAATAATAGTTTGACATATTGGTCTTGCTACAACAACTGCTTGAAATGAGTTAAAATCGTTGATCTCAACGCCAGCTAGATTTGAAATCAATTTCTGAAATAAACCAAGATAGTTCATTTGTTAGACGAGGCCATTAATGTACATATATAAGAGCATAACCGAATGGTTAACGCGTCGGACAAGTAACCTAATGATCGCTAGCCGATGGGTTCAAACCCCGTTAAAGGCAAGTCGTTGTTTCCTTGAGCAAGAAACTTTACACTAATTGCTCTGTACTTGTTGGTTCCAGGAACGGATTCAAAAGTGTGTCTATAAGCTTATGGCTTCCTACACATTCGAACGCAAAGAAATTTGTATAAACCAAAAATTGTACAGAAACAAAATCCAATCGCTCCATTTTTATGAATAAAATCCAATCTCTAAATATACATACAAATATTCAATATATTAATGTCAATCAACACGACATTGATTTCGTTATAACTCTTACAAAATAAGTGAATCCCAAATATAAGATTTACTGTGTATTCGGAACAAATGTGAATGCAAAACTATACATACATCGAGTGTGATATTCATTTTTAATTTGTGTACGAAGCCAATAGAACTTGTATTGATCTTAACAATTTATAATGATTTATTCATTTCACACCATAGTTTTTATATATTTTGATAGACATTTGACATGAAAGTTTGACTCTCCCCTCAAAAATGAAAAGGATGGAGTATGATATGCGTTTGATATAGATATTTTAGAGTTAGGAATCGAAAACGAGGATAAATGGGTCTATATGAATGTGATGAGTCATTTTGGACTATGAATATAAAAAACTATGCTAAATTGATAAGAATGAATTTAATTATGATTTCTGTTGGAACATCACATGGTGCAAACGTAAAATGTGCATTTGTTCTAGTTTATAAGGTGTAAAATAATAAGAATTATGACTCCCAACGACATATAAGTTTTTATACAGTACACGTTGTAACCCTCATAAAAGGAATTTTTAATACTTCATGTCTAACATGTTATAACGCAAAGCTTTTCGGACTTACATCTTGCTTCTGCATACGTGAAGTTGCAGGTAACGGTGCGACGGTAATCCACTCATTTCCGTTCAGCGATATCTTTACAACAATTTCATCCCGTGAACTAATATCTTCAAGATAAGGGATGTAAATTCTTGTTGCCACCTTCAATAAAAGAAAGTGACACAAGTTCCTTTATTCTAAAGAAACCAATTTATGATAATGACTATAGAACAATTATTCTTAATGTAAGATATGTATATATTTTCAATAGGAACATTTCCAAAGGCCATTACATTAATACAATTTATCATTAATTTTAATGTTGACCTTATTCATCAACAGTTTTCTGGTTTTGAAACGCAATAGTTTCTTTATCTAAATATTTATCTTGCTACCTCTGAATGTAAATTTCCTCTTCTAGACTGTAAATCAATGAGGGAGCTGATGATCTTTTCGCCAGGGTCAAGAATTTCTATCACAGGATCAACTTCGTCACTCTCGTTACATTCAATATCATCTTTTTCAATGTTATCCGGAGGCGATGTCATTACACATGCAATATTTGAATGGTACGCTCGCCTTCCGTCTACCATATCGCTGGCTCTGTTGTAGCTATGACATGATACCAACACAACATCGATTGTTTTATTTAAATAAATCATATAACAAAGCATTATTGCAATAAGATGTTAAACAAACCATAAACATTTTAGATTCGTACATATACTACTTTCTGAACGCTGAATAAACATTCAAAATTATCTGCACTACAAATTTTTTGTACAAACTTTGATATATTGTCTTTGTATTTCATAAACAAATCTACTCTATACAATTCCCAAAACAATGGGCTTTTAGTTTAAAAAAGATTAATATTACTTTGCGGTTGACTTTACTTACGTCACTGAGGTCCAGTTGTTTTGATCTTGTCTCCAAGCTCTTTCCTCTGCCTCTTTCTGTAAACGTTCCTTTTCTTTTCTTTGTTCTTCTCGGCGTGCTTGCTCTTGCTTTCTCTTCCTCTCCATTTCTTCTTGCCTTTTCTTTTCCTTTTCAATTTCCTCTTGCCTTTTCTTTTCCTTTTCAATTTCCTCTTGCCTTCTCTTTTCCCTTTCAATTTCTTCTTGTCTTTCCTTTTCTCTTTCTATTTCTTGCCTTCTCTCTTCTTCTTGTCGCTTAATCGCGGGTAAAACATTGCGTTGTATTATAAAGTAGTAAATTTTTTTAATGAATCTAATAAAATAAACAATCATCTTACAACGATTTCTAATTAGTCTTGCCGATTTTGTCATGCTCATTCAATTATTGATTGTTTTAAGATTTCTTATGACAGTTTTGATTAATGTCACAGACACTTTTTGAGGAAACCTACTTTGTAATTATTTATCTATTCTAATAATTCATGACGTACTCACCTGAATTGACAAAATCTTTTAATATATAATATATAAATCTATTTCTATACAACATATTATATCCCACAGGTAATGAAAGCTGGTATATCACAATTTTCAAGAGTCTGCAATTATTTTATATGGGATAGAGTTCACAAATATACTTAGGTAAAAAAATAAAGACAATACTTCTAGATAAAAAATAAATATATTTCTTGACACACTCCTATAAAACACAACATTAAAGCAGCGTTTAAGTATGGCAAGTGAATATGGATTTACATCCTGTTCAGCTTGTTGCTCTCTTTTTACCTCTGCTATTTCTTTACGCCTTCTTTTTTCATCTTCTCGCTCTCCCTTTTCTTCTTTCCCCTTTTTCTTTTTGGCGTTGTCGTTCATTCTGTTAAACAATATGATTTTTTATTATTATTTGAATAACTAGCTTAAAATGTTATATTACTATTAGATATTAATACCTTCGAAACCGGGTATCAGTTATATTTTCCAGCGGATTATCAATTCAAACATTAAGGTATGTTTATATTGAAAAAAGTCTTCAGTGCAGAAAATCATTATTAAGGATTGGAGTAAAGAAAATTTTGATGTTAACTCTATTTATCCGATTTTTCACCCTGTCTGATTTCTTCTTTTATTCATTCATTCTTGTTCTTCTTTTTTAAATTTCCTTTTGCAACTGCAATTGCATAGCAGGTTATTTGAAAAATCTTAAAAATAAATGATGAAATATAAAAAAAAGCATTCATCATATCTACCCGGTCAAAACGTACGCACTTCATAATAAGAGGGGAAAGGGGTAAAAGGAAATGATTTCTTTATCTTTAAATGTAAAGAAAAATACAACAATTATTGTCGAGTATATTAAAATGTTATCATAATTAAATTATCTTTCAAATCACAATATATTTTTAATATAAAAGGGATAATAATTTTAATACCGGTATATCTATTTCTTGATTTAGGTGTTCAACCTTTAAAGTCGTCTTCAGAGTTTGTTATATTTTTTCTGAACCATCGGGATCTTTGATTCCAACACTTTTAAGTGTTGAAAATTGAGTACTGCTCGAAAATGGAGTACCGCTCAAGCCGGTGCTAGAGGATGTGAGGGATGTAGCACTTTTCATTATCCCTCATGTACAGACTCAATCAGACTGAGACTGCAATTACGTGTTATTTTGTAGTGATTGATGCTTCTTGGGGTCACACTTTATCCAGATTCATTTTTCAATTTGGTCAGTCATTTTTCATATCATTTATTATAATACAATACTAAGTGTACGCCTAAATGATTAAAACAAAATGATTCTTCAAAACCATCATTGTAAAATGTTTGATCGCAATAGCTACATGCATATAATTAAAACTTTAAAAAAATACCTCTTCTTATTTGATTCTCCTCCTTTTCGTTGAGTATTTTCTTTTTTGTTTTGTTTGTTTGCGTTCCGTTTTCTTTTTTGCTTTGCTGCACTATAATCCTGTACATCTTTCCAATTTTGGAGACACCCTTGTAATTTATCAATATCATCACCACAAAGCTGTGCACCATCTTGCAGTTTTGCACAAACTGCTTCCGTTTCTTGTAGCAATACTGATAGCTCGTCTATCATCATTTCTTTTGCTGCCGTTTGAAGTTCGTGCGCTAGTTGAAGCTTCGGAAGAGAAAAAGATTCGCTTGAATCATATGCTTCTTCGTCTGGATATGTTGCAAAACAATCCGTGTCTATCGTTGTTGGTGAAGTAGCTGAAATTCGAGTGTGAAAAACACTAGAAAAGCTTTATTAATGCATTTGTAAGTTACAAGTTACAAATTTTGTTCATTTTTTTATTCAGAGAAGCAATTCCACTTGACTACTTTGGATATCTACTTAATCTTACGTACATCTTACCATTTGCTCGAAGTTCTTCTAATAGAGTTTCAATAGCATCTTGATTGTTTTCTATCAGAATTCTTTGCGCGTCTCGCAGTTCTTCGATTTTCTCTTCTACTTTCTCTATGTATAATTTTACTCTCAAAATTTCTGAGTTGGCTCCCTTTAAAACCTTAAATATTTAAGATAAAGAACATTTTGTAATGGATGAACATACTTATCAAAATATATACTTCAAAATATACTTCAATAAATAGAAAATACTTTGTTTGATTTTAAATACCAATGGACAGAGTCACTATGAGGTTCGAAAAAGAATTTAAGCCAGTGCAAACATATGAGCCGCGTCACGACAAAACCAACATGGTGCGTTGCTTACTGCAACTTTGCTGCAAATTATTCAAAAAATATAATTACTTAATTTAGTTAACCTGATAACACATAGGAACTATTAGAATCGTATTTGAAAATGTTTACTATGTTAATAGTTTATAATTTTATACTTTCATGATCTACATTTTTTCTTTAATTATGTTATGTCATAACATTACCATAAACAATGAAATACAAAGTTAAAAAAACTTTTTTAACAAACTTTTAACTTTTTTTAACATAAATAAGCAAAAATTGTACATTACTTGTTTCACTTTTATTTTGTAATTTTCCACATCAGAAAGGCTTTGTGGCGGATCTTTTAATTTCCTAAATGCATTTATCTGAGCAGAGATAACTGATAGTGCTTTACATTCTTGGTCTGCCATTTTAAAATGCAGTTTGCTCTATTAAAATAATGTAAATATATTTGAGTTTGACGTTTTTTATTACCTTTATATTGTCTTTGATTTATTATACACTTTATTCTATGTTTATTAAGTAAACAAGCAAAACTATTCACATGCTGTCGATACTGACAACACGTAAATAGTAGACATTACACTTTAATGTCATATATTTTAGGAACTTCCTGGTTCGTTTAACGCTAATATCATGAAGATTATTTCATAAGATTTGAAAGTTAGGTACATGTCAAGTTGTAAATACCTTTTTCTATATGAACCATATTTGATATAGTGTCAAGGATTTACATCGTACAAAGGGCCCTTGAGAAAAATAAAATGTAGCTTAAAGATAAGATTTTATGTAGTTCATTCCTTACTTATTTATTAATTAAGAGCTGATATACAACATGGCATTTATTTGAGAAAACCTTTCAACAAAATCATAATCACATGTTTCTACATTATATTTTACTATGAATTTTAAGAGTCTGTTATCTTTTTTTCAATTAAGAAATTATTTAGGAATATATAAAAGCATTGGGAATTGTATTACATTGTATAACAAAACGGACATTTGCGTTTTTCAATCAAATTTATACCACGTGTATAATTTGTTATTAAAGTGATATTAACATGTTTATTTTGTTGATTTGAATTAGTAATATATAGAGGATATTTAAGTTTTTTCTATAAATACATGATTTATTTTCATCGAGTGGTATGAAAATAAATATTTCATGAGTGGCGGTAGCCACGAGTGAAATATGGTAATTTTCATGCCACAATATGAAAATACATCATGTATTTTTAAAAAAAACTTGAATTTTCTGTTTATTATATACATTTTTCTCATTTTTGACATTAAAATTTGAAAGACTTTCCCTTAAATTTTGTGTACTGGCAGAATTTAAAAGAAAGTAGTCCGGCAAGACACCGGTAAAAATACGGAAAATATGTTTCACTGCAGTGAAAAAATTTTTTTTTTCAGTGAAAATACGGAAACTGAAAATACACATTTTATTTCATCAATATTTCTCAATATTTCATTTATAAGTATATAATAAATTTCATTATATAAAAAACTGCCCAACTGTTTTTTTTTTTAAATTGAACGTTATCGATACATTCTGAATGATATGTTTATAAATTTCCGTTGATCAGGTCATTACAGATTTTATTTATAGTATACTATATTACTGAACACAATTATAACAAAATGTCAAGTTACATGTTTTTTTATTTTGACCTGGAAACTGACCATTTGCACTTTGGATAGGTAAATTGTCATTTTAATATAACCTGGCTTTTTTCAATTTGCATCAATTAAGTTAATACTAAATACTTAATCGTTGGTCGGTACTTTGCTAATTTGCATTTTGAAAGCTAAGATTTATTTCATATTTGAAATGAAATGATGAAAAGAATTGACATTTTGGTATGAGATACCTGCTTTTAAGTCCTTAAAGTAAAAATTATATACGAGGGTCATCCTCAAGGGCAGTGGGTATAATCATAAATGGTTCATTGTATTATATATATATTAATTTTTAACATGTTGGCCGTAAATCCCCATACATCAAAACGATATTTTGACCAATAAAAACTACATTTTTCATAGGTCAATCGTAAAATAATGTATGATCCGTTTGTGTGGTATGTATTTAAAACAGTTATTTATTACAAATATTACAGGTTAATAGCTTTGTAGAAGTATGACTCTTTAAATGAGTCTGCGTTCAAAAATAATATTTGCTATAAGACACCTGCCCCTCATCAATTTGGGTTTGAATCCCGACTTTGGATTATTTCATGTGAAGAAGCTATCCAGCTTGTTATGGAACGTAGAAGGTTCAGCATAACCGGAAAGTCGACATATACTTTAACGGCGTACCCCATCCTCAAACATATTCCCATATTTTTTTTAAAAAAAATAGATAAATTAACCATTGAAAAGTATAATATATAAGAATATCTGTTCATCAGATGTCTACTAGTTCATCTTCACTTGCTGCATTTCTTGCTTGGACACCCTTTGATGTTTTGTAGCAATGCTTTTCTTGTTATATATATTGTATGATTTTATCATAATATACGGAAAAGTGTTAAAATGTACAAGGTTTTGTTTTGTTTTTATATACAAGTATTTAATAATTACTTACGAATATGCTGTTATTATATTCGAGCATATTGTTATATTATTTTGTTAAATACGAATATTGTCATTATATACCATTATTGAAATGTTTATAGAAAAAACATATACACATGTATATATATTTACAGTTGTATGAAAATGAGATCAGACATGGCATAAAAAATAACAATTCTCTTCCCTGAAAGGTCTTACATGTATATTAATAGGAAAAAAGCAGGTTTTACAATACGACAGTATTGGTATGTAGACGAGAATTGTTACAATAAACATTTTTATAACATGCGGGTCTTTTGTCATTCATTATAACTATGTACAACTACATTGTTATATGTGATAGAAAGAGCATCGAAACACGAGAAATATATCTGATTTGTATGAGGGGGTGTAGCCCCCGAGTATAAATTAGATTGCCAAGAGTTTTGCTGTTTTTTTTCTGTTTGTATCATAGGCAAAATTAAATACACGTTCCCTGTTGTAACAGTGTGAAACTCAAGAAAAAGTAACCAATGAACCAGTTTCTGAATGTGGCATTTCAATTGTTATTTCTTTCTTTGTCGTTATAAAAAGTAAACCACATAAAAAATTAGCCAATCAATGGGCATGCTCTGGAGTGCGGGAAACTAACATAACGCACTGTGCATGTATGTGTATACGATTTAACTCTGACACGTTTTCAACAAAAAGGTCCCCAAAGATTTACTATGATACAATTTATAATATAGTGTATCTTAATTGATGGCACATTATGCCTAAGGAATTATGCATTATCAGTGCTGTAAAAAGTCGTCTGGTGAAATAGTTCAAGATATATTCATTATAGTACTCTATACTCTATGCACAGAAGCTTGACATTCTATCGTTAATTGAAAAATATAAGCAAATGATTAAGAAATAAAATAGATTATCAGAAAAATGATAAATAATTCATATTCAGCCCGGAGCAGCGAAATCAGTGACGTCAGCGCATGGAGTCCCATGAGTTGACATTAGTGTGAACATTGACAATTTATTATAATTTAAAATATCAGCGGTTGTTAAAGGTATAACGAAATGGCTAAACCAGTTTGCAACGCTTGAAATGAGATAAAATTTGTATCGATTGTGCCAAAGGCGTTGTATCCATGCGTTTATTTATTGTATAGAGGGGTATATTTGCCTTTTTCTTAATTATTTGCTTATAGCTGAATGCCGAGCTCCTGGGCTCTTTGCAGCTTATTTTTATTTGATTTGATAGAAACCCACGTAAAACACATCATTGAATACTTAACAATATAATTTGTTTCTATAAAGATAAAATATTTATGTTTATTAGTCAGATTATCATATTTATGTTTAATAACGACTAGAATAATGTATTTTTTACATTTCCAAATTGCATATTGAATTCCCAGCTGTGTAAAGCTATAATTAAGCAGATATATGTCACTTACAATTGAAGTGTATAACGCGCAATGTATTAAATTTATGTTAGTTGCAGTAGTTTAAGAAGTGTGATAGGTAGACATATGAGCCGCGACACGACAAAACCAACTTAATGAGTTTGCGCCCAGCAGGGATCCAGACCAGCCTGCGCATCCGCGCAGTCTGATCCGGATCCATGCTGTTCGCTATCAGTTGTTCTACTTGTTTTCTGGTTTGTAAGCGGACAGCATAGATCCTGATCAGACTGCGCGGATGCGCAGGCTGGTCTTGATCCATGCTGGTCGCAAACCCATTATGTTGGTTTTGTCATGGCGCGGCTCAATATGGCAATAACAGTTGCTACGCTACATGTAATGTTTTAGTTTTGTAGGACGGAGCTGTCGTTTTAAGTGTGAAAAGTAGATCTGGGATCTTGTATCACTAACAGTTGCTACATGTAACATCTTTCCTTTAATCATATTTTAATTGACAACTTAGCATAGAACTTGTGTGTCATCAACGAGTATATTAATCAGTATGTTGTTGGACTGTCAGATTTAAAGACATTTACAAGTATGATAAAGAAGTGTGTATTGCTCGTTTTTCTAAAGTCAATTCATGCTCTCGTTGAATTTGGAACGTTGGATTTCAATCTATGCCGATCTGAGGAAAATAAATTTTCTGTTTTGATTGGAAGGACGATAGAACAATGTATGGATGAATGTCTTGCCCGAGAACATTGTAAAGCATTCAATTTTAGGACAAGAATGAAGATTTGTGAACTATTTGCAACAACAAGTTCAGATCAATTTAGTCATGGAGAATGTCTTTATGCTGACAAAAAAGATCTGCAAACAGTGCAGGTACTTATTACAGATTTTACTATTTACAATGATTAAGTTTGTAAAGTAAGAAATGTTTCAATATAACCCTGAGTGTGTTAAATCGTCTTTTTGATAATAGTTTCTGATAAATAACTGAATGGAATTTTAAGGCCCTGTCACACTAAACTGCGCTTTTACTGCGTTTGCACGACGTTGTTAAATTAAACAAATCGCCGCAAGATCGCAATAAAAATGTGTGATGTTTTTGATGACATAAAGACTTCACGGAGTCCCCAAGGCTATCATGGCGATGCTACGGAGCTTCCACGGCGTTTTCGTCGGCGATTGTCTACTTTGGGACTGCGCTTCTACGACGTTCTTTGCGCTTTCACTACGCATTTACGCATTTACTGCGTTGAGATCGTATAGCTCCGTAAAAGCGCCGTGCACACGCAGTATAAGCGCGGTTAAGACGCCGCACAACCACCGTACAAGCGCCGTGGATAACCACGGCGTTCATTCGGCGTTCCCTTTGCGCTTTCCCGGCGCTCCTGTTGCGTTGTATGAGATGCTACTGAGTTGTTACGGCGCCCTTACTGCAATCCCACTGTGCTCATTTTAGAACGCCGAATGACGGCGTTGCTATGAGCATGTTCAAAATGCGCGCCGTCGGTCGGCGTTCTATGCGACTCCACTACGATGCTGTGGCGATGCTGCGGCGATGTTTGCGATCTAACTGCGCTCATCTCGGCGTTTTGAATTTTTTTCTTTGGACGCCATGACAACGCCGTCCTAGTGTGACAGGGGCTTTATTTATGATTGGAAAATGATGTGAAAAATTCACTTAAATTAAAGAAAGTAAACTATAAGATAAAAAAATGACAAAGACTGTAACATGTATTTGCACACCCATTAACTTAATATTTTTTAACTTTCCTCCCTTAATTTCAAAAATAATTACTCATCTTACAGAATGACTGCAGTATTGGTGAAGTTCGAGAGCCGAGTGGATGTGTCGTTAAAGGTATAACTTTGATTTTACAACGTATCATTTTTATTATTTTTTTACTTATGATTTGAAACATGTCTCTTAATGTTAACAAACAGAGTCACGCTTTTAGGCATGTTTTCGTTTCTATTCCGTTTTTAAGTGCATTAATGCATGTGTTTCGATTTAAGATAAGCATTTGCGATTAGTAGAGGATTTACCTCTTATTCATCAAACACTTTTCATACACATGGGTGCTATATTCTTAATGGAGGCTTTCTGTATATGAATTATTAATATTCCATAGAAACAAGAAATTAACATAAAAATATTTAATAGAAGAAAACTTATTCGAACTCAAAACTACACATCATCGTTACTTATAAAGACATTGCTAAAACCAAAATGTCGACTCACTGAAGTGTGTAGTTGAACATATTGAGGAAGTCTGAAACTGATATCAATTAATAATGGTAAAATTGTTACGTGCATTAGATAAATTTGAAAAAAAGTTAATTACTTTGTCAATTAAGTTGCAACGAAATGGTTAGCAACACGATCAACTATTTAATAAGTGTTAATTTCATTTTGTTTAAGTGACTAAGTATGACGTTAAACCATGACGCGTTTATTTAATATTTAATACAAATAGGATAGAGATACAAAAAATAGAAAATCATATACGTGGAAATAATGAATAGGCTTCGATGAAAAGATCTACTAGTGAAGGTCAAAACGATTGTGAAAATGATTAGAGAACCTGAAAAATAATGCAGACTATGAAACAAAACAAACAGATTTCCTATATAGAACCTTTAGAAAAAGATTGACCCCTTAACATATTCAATATTTTAACAATGTTTATAAATAAATGATTGAAATGATAAATGTTGCAATGTGGTTTTGTATTAAAATGAACAAAGAAAAACATGTGATCTTTTAAGATGCAATTTGTATTAAATACATGTAATAATATAAAAATGAATATATGGAAACTGACATCTTATTGAAATTATACAATGATTAAACAGTAGGGTTTCATTCAAGATAAGATTCATAAAATCTTAATCATACAGTTCCAGTTATTTAAGAAACGAGTAAATAATTTATATCAAAGTTTAACGTTAGTATACACTTATATACAAATATACCTTTCAATGTTTTTCATTTTTATATATATATTTTTTTTGAATAGTTATGCTTTTAATTCAGCTATTCATTATTATACATGTATAGCAAAAGTGTAGCTTTATTTTACTAGTAACACGTGTGATTTATTATATTATTATTGCCTCAAGAATGCATTGATATTGTCGTCCCCGGAAATGGAAGGGTCCTTGGCAACATGAGGAAGGTTGGAAAAAATATCAGGTACAAATGTGAACACGGATATAAAGTTAAGGACAATGTGCCTACACCTGTTGCTGAATGTCTGGAGACAGGACTTTGGAGCGCCAATGTTGAATGCGTTCACAGTAAGCACATTTCTGTCGTATGAATATACTCTAACTAGTTCTTCAAGAAAAAAACAAGAATGAAGATCAACGGGCAACGTTCTATATCTATCTATATCTATAACGGTTCTGCCATCTTGTAACTCTTAAGTCTTATTATGCCCCTCCTTGCATCGCCCTTGTGTCAAACCATCTTATAAGTATGATTATTAACTTGTTTGTAATAGTATAAGGTGTTTATAAGCCATATATTGAAACATTTTGAATTTAACAGCGTTCGATATTCATCTTTGTACATTTTTAATCGTAACCAACGGACGTAGTTACTATTATACATATTTTCTTATAAGATGTTAGTGCTAGTAAAATTGGAAGTGGTTTACTTACCTAAACTCCAAATCATTATTATGTCCCGATCAAGTTGAAATGAATAGGTTAAAACAAAACATATCATGTCAAAAGGTTTCACGTGTTATCTATGTTGTTATACGTAAATGACAAAGTCAACGTTGACCCTTACAACCGGAAAGTGTGTATAACTTATCGCCCCGCTGTGTTCCTCAGATGTATGCATATGCTTCATACTGTTATGGTGACACTTTTGTTTGTCTTACTTGTTAATTTCTCGTCTACAGTAAATATCTTCCATTTTGCCCCCTAGTTTTAAACAAATGGCATATCTTAAGATCAAAGCAATATCTTACACTCTGTCTATTCAACTGTCGAGTTCATATGAATTATATTATAATTGATAAGTGTTCATAAAAAATCTTAATTGTTAAAATTGCAAATAAATCAGTTTAAAATACTTGAAGGAACTGATATTCGATCCAGTTGTTTGGATAAGTTGTTGCTGTTGAGTTGTTGTTTTTTTCTTATACTTCTTAAATAAAACAATGTCTAGGTAATGTGATAAAAGTAAAGTTTATTTATTGTTATCCTTCCTGAATAAGTTTTACATTCGTGTCCTGTAGTAACATACACCTGGGCAACATGGACTGGTTGGAGTCAATGTAGCGTCTCTTGCGGTGGCGGTGAAAGAACTAGGACAAGGTCATGTACCATTCCTATACAAAGCATTGATGATGTTCAATGTTTACAAGATGATCCGACCTTTGATACAGAGACATGCAACCACCCAGTTTGTGAAGGTAACACGACCAAAAACTTGTTCTACTAGTTGAAGAATGTAATATCATATAGTACTTTAATAAATACTTGACTTTTAACAAAACGGAAGTGAAATTATGTAATGAATATTTGAAAGTCTTTGTCATTTAAAACGAAGTGAATTTCTGATTTTTTTCTAAGCCCCGACCATAGGAAATCTTTGCACGGTAGATGCAGACTGTACAGAGACTGAAGGCACGTGCATTGGAGGGAGATGTTTCTGCAATTATTTGTATAGATACAACGTGACGTTAAGAAATTGCATAAAGGGTAACTAGTTTTGCTTATTTGTATATGTGACTTTCAAAGGAAATTTAATTCACATGTGTACAGCATTATTTAGTTTTCAAGATATGTTCATCATAGTTTAAGATGAAACATTTTGAGTATGTCATTTTTAGCAAACAACTAGACTCTAACAAAATGTGACTCAAAAGAACAGAATTAGAAAAGATATTAATCAAGATATTAATATGTCAATACAAAAACAAAATGAATGCCACATTCCATTTAGTAAACGATTACTTTTTACATAACGTTAAACTCTATTTATATTTATTACGGTTCTGCCATCTTGTAACAACTCTTAAGTCCAAACTCTCCCCTCCTTTCACCGCACTTGTGTCCTCTCCACATTTGCAGTTCGGTGCCTTCTTGGTGTCCTGTTGGTGTGACTGGATTGTGTCCGGGCTGCGTTCTGTGAATGACACATTGCCTCTTTATTTTTCTGTTACATATGATGCTTTCGAAGTATTCTGAATACCATTCTTTTAACATTTTACAGTATGTGACACACTGACAGATGAATTTGATCTGTTCGATAATATTGTCATCAGCGGGTACAATGATATAGAGTACATGAGGCCAACTGACAACGCAGAAAGTTGTGTACAGGCATGCATAAGCAACATAAACTGTCTTTCTCTTGACGTTTATACAGATCCAACTGGAAATATGCTGTGCAATCTGGCAATAGTGACACGTGACATGATGCTCGATGCATATCCTGAAAATATAATTAATTATACGCCGTGGTCAAAACTTTATACTAGGATATGTATTTGAACGAATATGTGAAAATAATGTGTTTCATTAGCAACATACACTTCTTTCATATCGACAAATTGTACTGTCGTAAACTTAATCACTCAACGGATACTTGATTTAATGAAAAAAGAAATGATATGACATTCAAAAATAATTGTAATAAAATACTTATACATTTATATGTAATCGATTGAATCTTTGCTTGTCAAATGAATGATATTTTGTCCTAAACTTAAGAAAAAAAATTCTGGAAACAAAGTGATCCCTCGGAAGCATTAATCACAACAAAATAACATAAGAATTGCAGACTCGGTTTGATTGAGTCTGTACATGAGGGATAATGAATAAGTGCAACATCCCTCACGCCCCCTAGCACCGGCTTGAGCGGTACTCAAGAGCGGTACTCAATTCTCAACACTTTATAGTGCTGGCATCAATGATCCCGAAGGACCAGAAAATATAACAACACTGAAGTGAAGACTTTGTTTTGGATTGTCTGATTTAAATTATAAGAGAAGCAGCTATAATAGATTAAAAAGTTCATTCCTAAATACTAGAGCATCTTCATATAAAACGTATCATGTTTGTTCAAGTTATGGCGGCCGTGGTTAAATAAAAGCCCTGTTCTAGGGCTGTTGATTTTACATTGTCTCGTGTAGACAAAAAATTAATTTCAAAAAACATTCTTCAAAATACCCAAAGAGCCCGGAGCTTAGATATCTTGTTTGTTATATGGTATTTTAAATAAAGTCTAGTTTCTACAGGGAAAGACTAAGAAGATCAAGCCAGACGTCTCCTCGGTGTTCACTTTATTTGACAAACAAAGACTCAAATACAAAATAAACGTTTTAAAACATTTTAAAGTAATCTTCTTTCAAATTCCTTTGCCTAGAAATACGATATTTCCTAAGGAACTGTTATGTGATGTGTTACTTTCCTAAGGAACTGTTACGTGATTTGTTACTTTCCTAAGGAAATGTTACGTGATTTGTTACTTTCCTAAGGAACTGTTACGTGATTTGTTCCATTCTTGACTTAAGGTTCATCATCGGCACTGTCCCTTGATTTTACATAGATTCTCATGTAGGATATACCTCCAAGAAATCTTCAAGGGTTAGAATTTAGATATTTTGCGTGAACCATTTTAGAGTTAGACACTACTAGGTTTATTCATGATCAAAATTTGCAGTTGTTTAAACTAGGAACACTGTGTTTAGCATTTAGTATTAAACAGTAGAACTCTGCAAAAGCTTTTCCAATCAAATATGATTCGAATCAGCTGCTTAATAAGACAACGCTTTACAGTCCGACATCACCAAAAGGAGGTCATCTACTCGTGATTTTTTTCAATCAGCCAATCAACGGGAACGCTTTTGGGTCTGACATAATCAATAAGAGGTCATCTACTCTCGTGCGCTTTTTAATCAGCTTATCATTAAGAGGTAAAGTCCTATAAAATCCTAAATAAACCTTTAAGTTAAAAGTAAAAGATTTGGCGGTGATCAATAAGAGATCACCATCTCGCGACTTTCCAATCAACAGATTAGTGACCGCTTTTGCGTTCTTAAAAGTAATGCACTTTCTCCTTTTTTAATCACTGGCAGCCTAAAATGTGTTATATTTACGCTTTAAAGATCTTACGGGTGAATAAAAAATGTTTGGCCCGTGCTTTTGATAAATAAATTCGAAATTACTTGCTTTTGGTTTTTGTTTTTCAATAAGGCGATCAATTACTTGTCTGACTTCTAGGATGATGACGTTCTAGTAAAATGCATCTCAATATGGGATTACTTTGATTGGTTGGCTTGAAATATCCAAATCAACCTTAGGGCAAAAACAGTAATTGACAATAAGATATACATGTAAACATAAAAACATTTGAACTTAAGTCAGATTGCAAAAGAAGGTCTACTACTCGTGATAATTTTATCAGCCTTTGAACGGATAGCATTCACGTTATTGAAGAAATAGTATCAGTTAATATTTTCAACAAAAAGGAAACGGAACTTGCATGTATGATATTCACAATTTTAAGATATTACGAGTGAATAGAAGTTACTAAAAAGTACTATATCTTACACAACAAGTGCCCCTCTAGACACAGACAATATCTCAGGCATGAATGGGCACCTGAGTAAAGCCATGAATGGTTCGTTAGCTGACTAGAGAACTCTCTCCAATGAAAGGATCTACGGTCTGGCGGGATTGGAACAGCACAAAGAAGCAAAAGAGGTCCTCCTTTATTAATAAACCAGGGAAAATCGCCTCAAGACATGAACAGGGTCGATAAGAAGGAAAGAAAGAAAGTTGCAAAACTAAAAAGATCAGTCTAATAGTCTAGAACAACATAATCGATGCTGTCCATAGGCAGTCGATAAAAAGGTGTATACATTTATACTATTATATCACTCTTTCCTGTATGTTAACTGAACTCATTCAATACTGTATCAATTAATTGGTTAAATATTTATGTTCAGTCGTCTAGTTATCATAATTGATGTTGCATAACGCTTAGCGTTCCGAAGGACAGTAAACAATTACCCACTGTATCAAAGATTAGAGCATAGATTTCAATAATAAGGTAGCTCTTCAAATCGATATGATTAGATCATAAAATGCGCCATTAGTTTTCTTGCTTTGGTATTTCAGTTAAAAAAGTAATAACATTTATCATATGTGCTAATAGGAAATAGACTAGTTTGATAACATTATACAGTTTGTGGGTTACCTTTTAAATCTATATTTTTGTAACTTACAGATGAAATGTAATTAGGTTTAACAAATATGACAGTGAAGTGTTTATTGCTCGTTCTTTTTAAGGTGATTTATGCTGTCATAGATTTTGGAGCTTTAGAATTTAATCTTTGTTATTCTGGGGACAATAAATTTTCTGTTTTGGTTGGAAGGACAATAGAACAATGTATGGATGAATGTATTGCCCGAGAATATTGTAAAGCATTGAATTTTAGGACGAAAATGAAGATTTGTGAACTATTTGCAACAACAAGTTCAGAAGACTTTAGCCCTGGAGAATGTCTTTATGCTGACAAAACAAACCTTCAACCTTCATCTACACAGGTATGATTTTTTAGTTTATACAAATTTATTTTAGTTCGATTGTGTTGGAAGCTATAAGCTTATTGAGACACTCTCGAGGTATGATTTCAAGATTAAACCAACAAAATCAGTTAGTTTCAAAATGAAAATCGTTTTGCTTTGAATAAAAGATCTGAAAATGACACGCAAAAAAAAACAACTAAAAATGGATTTAAATACAATCAGGAAGATACATTTTTAAACATATGTACTCATTTATTTTTAAAATGAAAATTTTCTTACAGAATGTCTGCAAAAGGGGAGAAGTTCAAAAAACTAGTGGCTGTGTTATAAAGGGTAATACTATGCCTTTAATTCAACTAATTATTCATATTTATTTGAAAACTGCTTTTATGTTGTTGATTTATATATTATATATCTTTTCTATTTTTCCCCTTTGATTTAAATGATATCTTAAATTCATAATTTTTTTATACGCATGAGAAATACAACCTCAATTGAGTAATTATGTTTCCCACAATTTGGGAGACATATTATTTTGCCTTTGCCGTGTGTCCGTCCGTCCGTTTGCTGTCCGACTGACCGCCTGCACAATATGGCCACTAGAGCTGCAAAAAAAAACATTGTCAGGCTTTTACAGGACAAAAATATTATGCATATCACTGACATAGTCTGCTTCACTAAACGAAATGGCCACAAGAGATAAAAATACATTTTTTTTTTGTTAAATACAAACAATATTTGCATAATTAATTGTCATCAATGAGAATATTGATATTGAAAAATGAAACAGATTCATGCGGGTCTTATGAATGTAACTGACATTTAAAGCAAAAATATACACGTTTTCGTATTTGATTACAATTTTAAATCAACCATTTGTTACACATGTAATACGTGTGTAGCATTAGTATTTAACTTTTACAAGTATTACATTATTTAAATCATAACTGCATTTAGAATGTATAAACATAACCATCCCTGAACATGGAAGCGTCCTTGGCAACATGAGGAATGTTGGGAAAGATATCAGGTACAAATGTGAACACGGATATAAAGTAAAGGACAATGTACCTACACCTGTTGCTGAATGTCTGGATACAGGACTTTGGAGCGTCAATGTTGAATGCGTTAAAAGTAAGCACATTGATAAGATACATTTACTACTAATTCAATCTCCTTATGAATATGGCCTTGTTTAGATAATAAAACATATCATTCACTTTGAAGCAAAACAGGCAGATTTATTGAATATCGATCGATTACATGTATCATTTTAGCAAGTATTTCATCTCAACCAACGGATTTAACTAGCGAGCCATATTGGGTCCTTTCAATGCAATGAAGCCTCATATTGGCTATTTGAAAGTAAATGAATCGAGAGTGATTTAAAAAAAGCATAAAGTTTGGATCACAATTTAGATAAAAATAAATGGTGTAGCATATATATCAAAAGTGAACTGAGTGTGTTTCAGTTTCAGTGCTGAAAGAATATAACAGAAAGCTATGGCTGAATCAATGTTGAAAATTTCTAATGAGGAATCTTTGAAATATCATTATAGTTTTATACATTACTTTAACGTAGAAAACAACTTTTAGCAGAACTCAATGCATTTCATAGAGAGCCAATTATTTTACCTCTCTTACACTGAGATAAAACAATTGAGATGAATGGTAAAGCCTATTTGATTCAGACATCTATGTGATTAAGACTTCTTAAACATCAGTGGAACTTACGTTTAACTTTATGTAAACCAGGAAGAACAGAAAAAAACTTTTAATCTGGCAATCCAGTTTTAATAGGGGCAGTACAAATTGTTAAATTTGATTTTCTTTCCTACCCGAAGCCGCCACCAATCGCTAATGGTTGGATCTTACAAAAGATGTTTGGATGTTTCATATGACATGATATCAAAATAACCAATGTAACACGACTTTTTACTTGCATGAAATGAAATTATGCATACAGATGAGAGACAGTGGCAAATTGCTATATTGCCTGTATCATTATGTTTTCAAATAAATAAAAATGGTGATTTTAGTCAATAGATATAAATTCCTTCCTTTTTATTAGGCTTAGCAATTTCAAAGGAACAATTATCTTACATGATTAACAAATCATTATGAATTTTATCCTACATATTGGTGTATTTTAATTTAGAACAAGACAACGTGAAAAACAAAAAGAGGAAAAACATTAGAAATCAATTTAAACAAATGCATATTTCATAAGTTTACCGTGTCAATTTATCAATCTCAAATTTAATACCTCTTAGTCAATTAGGCTAAGCTCTCGAGTCGTTGCTATAGGGAGATGCAAAGTAAATTAAAATTCATCACATCGAGTGAATATGATAATTCAAACAAAATTACATGTATCATATTGAGTAAAATAGTTAATATTTCAAAGTTCTAACATACATTTCCCCTTATTTGTAAGTACATCTTCAAATTCAAATATCGTCATACTCAAATCATTGCATCAGTGAACTAGTAACCTACTGACAACAATTTTACTAGGAATTATATTTCACTTGATAAGGTTGCACTTGTTGTGTTTACAACATGTAATTTATATTTGTGAAACTGTGTCAGTTTCGATAATTAATGAGATACCTTGTCTTTTCTGTAAAATTCCTAACTGAAGGAATGTCTCTGTCATAATAAAAGGTATGGAACATTTATTGCCATGATTTCGAAAAAAAGTATTTTACATTTGTATCTTTTAGTGGCATACACATGGGCAACCTGGACTGCCTGGAGTCAATGTAGCGTCTCTTGTGGTGGCGGTCAAAGAACAAGGACAAGGTCATGTACCATTCCTATACAAGGCATTGGTGATGTTCAATGTCTACAAGATGATCCGGTAAATCATCCGGGCATTGAATCAGAGACATGCAACCACCCAACTTGTGAAGGTAATAGTTCTACTAGTGGAGGTAATGCGATATACAACTGGTTCTACTAGTTAAAGAAAGTAAAATAACGTAGTGATTTAAAAATAACTGATTCTTAACACAGAGGAAATGAAATTACGTAATGAATGTTTGAAATTCTTTATCATATCAAAATATCATATCAAATGTAATTTGATTTGTTTTACGGTTTTGTTTCTGATTATGTTATAGCCCCGACCATAGGCAAGCTTTGTACGGTAGATGCGGACTGTATAGAGACTGAAGGCATGTGCATTGGAGGGAGATGTTTCTGCAACGCCTTGTACCGATATAGCGTGTCCTTACAAAATTGAATTAAGGGTAACTTGTTTTTGTGAATTTGTTTTGAAATTTCATACCAAAAAAAGAATACTTGTAAATGAAGTTATGTCTCAGATATGTTTGTTTTGGTTACAACGAAAGAATCTTGGTATGTCACGGTCAGCACGTAATGGCTAAAATGGTAACAACAGTAGGTTGGGTTTAAATTTATTGATGCACGAGGTTTGTCCCAAAAGTTTGAATAGTAATTTTATAAAATACAAAAAACTGACAAGGCAAATAAGCCATATTTGTAAACATTTCTAAGCAGCTGATTTTCAGTAAAGTATGCATGCTATAAGAAAACATTTTGTAAAATGTCCAAATTCTGAACGAATGATATCGAATACATCGTCAACGATTATAGAACAATCAGTCTAGGTGCTTGTAATTTATTGAATGTACATTTATTTAGAACGAAGAACCTATTTTTTGAATCAAAAATATGATGAGCGCCTGATATCAAAATCACGATTTTTTTAAATAGCAATCTAAGATATACAATTACTTTTTCTATTTTTTTTTAATTTGCCGTGTGGGTAGATATTTCAATAAAAATACAAGTGTTAACTAAATAATGCAAGATGTGCGTTATATTTTCCACAACAGAGCTTTGATATGACATTTTTGGACAACCCTCGTATTCACAGTGTCAATAAGAAAACATAGATGAAGCAGACAATTTAGTTATCAATAATATTTTGATATTGAAATGTCAAAGTCATGTTTCATTTCTTATTTTACCTCGTGATGTTATTTCTTTAATTATTTTTATTTTATTTTATCTTCATATATTGCTTTATAAGCAGTTGTGTTTTTACAGTGTGTGACTCTCTGACAGATGAATTTGATGTGTTTCAACATTTTGCTATTGCTGGTTACAATGACATACATCACGAGATGCCAGCTGCCAGCATTGACACGTGTATCAAGGCATGCATCAGCATGGCAAACTGTCTTTCCTTTGACAGTTATAGTAAATCTGGAATTCTGTACTGTAACCTATCACAAGTGTCACGTGACATGATACTGGATGCATTACCAGAAAATCTTATTGATTATCAAGTGTCTTCAATTTATACAAGAAAATGTAAATAAATGTCCACATGTGTAAAACTGTTCAAAAACATGGCATTGAGCTTTCACTGGTAGTATATACTTATTTTGAAATGATAAATGTCAAGATCATTGTTTCTCTTCATTCGTTTAATTTAAACATTTTTTATTGTGTATATATACATACATTGTACGTAAAATTGCACAATACTACACAATTATACATAAAACATTAATGTTAATATATTGGGCCAAATATTACAACAACATTATCGAAGTCCCTCGCCTTTTCTCTTTATTATCAGGTCTGACAGAAGCAACCGATTATGTAAGTTATGCTCGTATAAGTATTATATAATAAAATTGTGAAATAATATTATGTATTAAATACAATATCTCATGCAATAATAAGAAGATCTATGAGTATAACCGATCGGAATGTATGTCTTGTTTGTGTTTTATTATAGAAATAAATGATTGTTCACGTACAGTTAATATTTTTTTCTTTTTATTATCAATTGAAATATTATATATTTTCTATATTCAAAATATTAATATTATATGTTTTCATATTTGATACAAATGCGACGTTAAATAATGCAAGCGTATCATATATATTGTACAAGAAACGTATGTTGAATTCTATAAGATTGGATTATTTTGAATGAATTAACCTATTGTGTCATTAAAATACCGGTATCTGTCAATATTAAACAAACAGAATACTCAGGTACCCACTATTACCATGAATAATGCATCAAATCATCAATAAATCAATAAATTAGATAAATAAATAAGCAAAAATTGAAAATTCGTCTGGGCGTAAAATATCGCTGGGTATAATTGTCGTTGACAAAGGTCGTCCAGTATGGGGATCTATAACTTTGCTCTTTAAATGCTCTCATTGCGTAAGCTTTTAATTATTTTGATTGAAATCATTCAATAGTTCAACTGTTGATTTTACCTTTGATTCAAGAATCGTTTTAAATGTTTATGTTCGGTTGGCAAGATATCATATTTAATGTTCGTTTTATGATGTACACTTTGGAATTAAGTATAATTTTATAGTTACTATATATAATTATCCATGGTATATATAAGAAGTGCAAAGCTATCAATGATAGGGTAGCTTTCTTTATCAAAACATTATGTAATAAAAGCGCCATTACTTTTCCCTAATTGGGACTTTAGTCCCCACATAACTTGCGTATGCAAATTCGAGAAAGACACGTTTGTTACGTATCGCAGTTGGTATTGAATTTTAGGACAAGAATGAACATTTGTGAACTTTATGCAACAACAAGTTCAGGGTACCAATTAATCCATGGAGAATGTCTTTATGCTGACAAAGGACATCTACAACCCTCGTTTACCCAAGTATTTTTCAAAGATATATATTTCTGCAATCATTTGTATCGATACAACGTGACCTTGAGAAATTGCATAAAGGGTAACTAGTTTTCCTTATTTGCTATGTGACTTGATAGGAAATTTTATTCAAATGTATAATTATAGCATTATTTAGTTTTCAAGATATATTTCAAAAAGTTTAAGGCAAAACATTTTGCGTGTATCATTTTTAGCAAACAAACAAGATTCAAACCTAGACACTTACAAATATTTAAGTCCAAAGGTCAAAATGAGGAAATATATTAAGATATTAGAATGTCAATTCAAGTGATAATGCATAGAGCATCTCATTTATTTAACGATTACGTTTTTTTTATATAAAGTCAAACTGTGTCTGTATCTTTTACGGTTCTGTCATCTTTTATTTCATGTGTATTTCTTAAGTCTTATCCTTCCCCTTCTTTTACAGCCCTTGTGTCCCCTTCACATTTTTAGTTCTGTGCCTACTAGGTACCCTGCTGGTGTGACTGGATTGTGTCTGGATTGCGTTCTATTCTGTTCACATTGCCTCTTTATTCTCAATATTTTACATATGATGATTTCGAAGTATTGCGAATACCTTTTTTCCATTTAACAATATGTGACTCTCTGACAGATGAATTTGATATATTCGTTGGCATTAGTATTGACGGGTACAATGATGTACAGTAAAAGAGGCCAATTGACAGCGCACTAAGTTGTGTACAGGCATGCATAAGCAACATAAAATGTCTTTCTCTTGACATTTATACAGATTCAACTGGAATTATTGTGCAATCTGGCAACAGTGGCACGTGACATGATGCTCGATGCATATTCTGGAAATATAGTTAATTATAGCCCGTCGGAACTTTATACTAGGAAATATATTTGAACGAATTTGTGAAAATAATGTGTTTTATTAGCAACATACACTTCTTTCAAATCGAATAAGTGTACAGTCGTATAATTTTTGAATCAAAATTTCATTCAACGAAAAAGCAAATAATATGACATTCAAAACAATTGTTATAAAAATATTTCTATATTTGAATGTACAATCAACTGAAACTTTGCTTGTCCAATGATGATATTTTGTCCTACAATTAAGGTTTGGAGTTAGTTTTGGATTGTAAGATTTTTGGAGGAATGTTTTAATAAGAAGAGCAGCTATAGTAGATTCACTCCTAAAGACTAGATCATCTTGATATAAAACTGTACCAAGTTTGTTTTAGTTATGTTCCTGGTTAAATAAAAGCTTTTATCCCCGTTCTAGGGCTGTTGATTTTACGTACTCTCATGTAGTCAAAAAAATTTAAAAATGTTCTTCTAAATACCCATAAAGCCCGGGGCTTAGATATTTCGTTTGTTATATACTCAGAGGGAAAAAAGTTAAGTCAGTACGCAATCTTTTTGGTTTATATTTATTACACTACAGTTGTAAATTGTAAAAACAATTACTCACAATAAAATTCATTTTATATCAAATACATCTTAACAATTCTAACAAAAACAAAAGTCATTTACTATGGATATTCCATCAATATTTTATGATGGTGTCAAAGTAAAAATTCGAAAAAATGTCAGTATCTAGTGTGTCCGCCTCTTGCCTGGATAAAAGCGAAACAACGGAGGCCATTCGAGCATGTTAATGTTGTTTGCCGCCAGGACGTTACATATAAAGAGAGCAGTATGACAACGTGCATTATCCTGCTGAAAAACGTCAGCATTAACGTTCTGTATGTAATGTAAAACGACAGGGAGGATAATGTCAGCACAATAGCGCGCGGCATTTAGGCGTCCTTGAACAATTTTCAGTTCAGTTTTACCTTCATATGATATTCCGCCCCAGAGTATGACACCTTTGCCGGAGTAACCATTACATTCAACAACGTTGGCAGGATCTAGCCGTTCAGAACGACGACGCCATACGCTACCCTATCATCGGCGGAATTAAGGATAATTGTATTCGTCAGTGAAGACGACTCTATTCCATCGCTGCCTAACCCAACGGCTGTGTCGACGTGCCCAATCCAAGTGTGCAACCTGGTGACGTTGCGTAAGAGGAACATCTTTGTATGGGCGTTGAGCTCGTAGCCTAGCGGTCCTGAAAACAGATATTCTGGTCCCCGTAGCCAGTCTGAGATGGTGCACTAATTTTGTCGCGAGCATAAAGCAGTGACGGCATGATGACGTCACCATGTACCTATCTTCCCTTGGCGTTGTTATGCGCGGTCTCCCTAACAGTGGCCGATCATTAACGCTGCCTGTCTGTCGTAAACGCTGTTGCAGACTATAAATAGTCTGTTCATTGCAACAAAAATAACGTGTGACGTCAGAAGCATGTGTACCTCCTTCAAGCAATCCCAACGCGATATTCTTATCATTTATGGACAAGCCAGGACGGCGCCCTATGCTATCCAACTCTGATTTTACACCAGTTTATTTATTTGACCACAATAAACTATCGATACTTCATAAGTTATGACAAAATGACAATGTGAGGGTATGATATTGTAAATTAAATCTAATTTCTACAAGGCATGATCAAGAAGATCAAATCAGAAGTATCCTCGGTTTTAACTTTGTTTGTCATACATAATCTCATAAAAAGAAACATTTGATAAAAATATTCTTTTTTAAAACCCATTGCATAGAAATTAGATTTTTCATAATGAACTGCTGGGTGGTTTGTTCCAAACATGAGTTTAAAGTCAACATTGGCACTGTCTTTTGATTTAACATACATTTTTATCCAAAATATTTTTTAAGGTCTAGCATTAAGATATTTGGCCTGAACTTTTTCAAAGTCAGCGTCAAATACCCACGGCTGAACCATTAACATTTATAAAACCGTGGGATTTTCGCCGATATCAAAATAGAGAAGAACAGAAAGCCGATAAGAGGTGTGTCAAAGACAGACTTATCATTGGTTGCCTCACGATTTCATAAGGCAATCAAAACATTAAAATCAAAAAGCTCGTTCTATACGACGTTTTGTGAAACGTTAATTCTAGAAAAAATATTACTATTGTGATCTATGCTTGTGGAATAATTTAGTTTGGGAAGAGTCTTGCCTTTTATATTGGCAAGACCCGTGTGACCTTTGCTGTCGAAGAATATAAACTTTGCTAAACACGATTGCATTGTTAGATATTTTACGCACCTGTTGCTGTTGTTTATACAAGGAATACTGGATTTAGCATTTAGTATTGAAAAGTAGACCTCTTCAAAATTTGTTCAAATCAAGATATGATTCGATTCAGGTAGTTATTTAAGCTACACTCTAGGGTCGTTCATCACCAATAACAGCAAACTCGCACCGGTTACGCTACGGCCAGTTACCATTGCCTTCACACAAATCACGTGCTAATAGTCTTGTCTAGATGGCGGATATCTTATCTATAAAAAACAGCGACATTATAACTTGTGCTATGGTGTCAAATATGTCGATATGATTGAAAAAATTGTTAAGTGTCGAATCGAAATAATTAATCCCGTGAATGATTTCTCTATCGAAAATTCGGAAATTAATGGTGCAAATTAAAAATTATTTTCATAACATCTATGTTTCCAAAATGATTTTTTATATTAGTTCACATCTAACACCATAGGTCTTTAAACATTAGCAAAATCATGATCACTTTTTAAAATGAATATCAGAATAAAAACATATCGTCAAAAATCTCGACGAAAATGTTGTGATAGCAGAGATCTAATATCGTAAGCAGAGATCACTGCATGGGAGATTGCAAAAAAAGATCATCTACACGTGAATTTTTTAGTCAGACTATAAACAGCTACGCTTACAGATCCGACATCACCAATAGGAGGTCATCTATTCGTGATCTTTCTATAAGTCTATCAGCGGCTACGCTTAAACATCCGACATCACCAATAGGAGGTCTTCTATTCGTGATCTTTCAATCAGTCTATCAACGGCTATGCTTAAAGATCCAACATCTCCAATAGGAGGTCTTCTATCTTGATCTTTCAATCAGTCTATCAAAAGCTACGCTTAAAGATCCGACATCACCAATAGGAGGTCTTCGACTCGTGATCTTTCTATCAGTCTATCAACGGTTACGCTTAAACACCCGACATCACCAATAGGAGGTCTTCTATTCGCGATCTTTCAATCAGTCTATCAAAGGCTACGCTCGCTTAAACATCCAATATCACCAATAGGAGGTATTCTACTCGTGATCTTTCTATCAGTCTATCAACGGCTACGTTGGAAACACTTTTCATTGACCGAATTTTAATGTTTGTTTAAGAGTTCATTTTGCAAAAGAAGGTCCACTTTTTATCGGCCTTTCAACAGCTAGCGTTTCCATTATTGAAAAAAAACAGTATTAGTTAATATTTTCAACAATTAGGAAACCCAACTTGCGTGCATGATTTTCACACAGTTTAAAGATTTTACGACTGAATAGAAGTTGCAAAAACTGCAATAAATTCCTTAATGTCGAAACAACATTGAAAAGGTTATATTGCGGGCAAATTGCCCATTTTACCCTGTGAAAATACATCGAGTGCCCCACCGGACATTATTTTAGGCATGAATGGGCACCAGAGTAAGAAAGAAGTAGCAGAACTAAAAGACCATATAATAGTCTAAAACTACATTATTGATGCTGTCCATAGACAGTCGATAAAAAAGTGTAAACATGTATATTTATACTTTTTGTCGCTCTTTCCCTTTTGTTGATTGAATTCAGTCAATACTGTATCACATAATTGCTGAAATATTTATGTTCAGTCGTCCTGTTATCATAATTGGTGTTGCACAACGCTTTGCGGAAGGACAGTAAACAATTATCTACTGTACCAAAGATTGGTGCAAAGCTTTCAATAATAACGTAGCTTTTCAAATCGATACGATTATATCATAAAATGCACATTAGTTTTCTTGCTTTGGGATTTCAATAAAACAAATTAACATTTATCATATGTGCTAAGAGGAAAAAGACTAGTTTGGTTTGATAACATAAACTAGTTGGTGGGTTACCTTAAGCTATATTTTGGAACTGCAGATGTTATGAGGTTTAACAAATATGACGGCAAAGTGTTTATTGCTCGTTCTTTTTAAGGTGATTTATGCTGTCATAGATTTTGGAGCTTTAGAATTCAATCTTTGTTATTCTGGGGACAATAAATTTTCTGTTTTGGTTGGAAGGACAATAGAACAATGTATGGAAGAATGTATTGCACGAGATTATTGTAAAGCATTGAATTTTAGGACGAAAATGAAGATTTGTGAACTATTCGCAACAACAAGTTCAGAACACTTTAGCCCCGGAGAATGTCTTTATGCTGACAAAACAAACCTGCAACCTTCATCTACACAGGTATGATTTCAAGATTAAACCAACACAATTAGTTAGTACAAAATGAAAATCGTTTTGCTTTGAATAAAAGATCTGAAAATGACACGCAAAAAACAACTAAAATGGATTTAAATAAATTCAGGAAGATACATTTTTAAACATATGTACTCACTTATTTTTAAAATGAAAATTTTCTTACAGAATGTCTGCAAAAGGGGAGAAGTTCAAGAAACTAGTGGCTGTGTTATAAAAGGTAATACTATGCCTTTAATTCAACAAATTATTCATATTTATTTGAAAACTGCTTTTATGTTGTTGATTTATATATTATGTATCTTTTCTATTTTTTCCCCTTTGATCAGGTTGATTTAGAGGATATCTTAAATTCATAATTTTTTTATACGCATGAGAAATACAACCTCAATTGAGTAATTATGTCTCCCACAATTTGGGAGACATATTATTTTGCCTTTGCCGTGTGTCCGTCCGTCCGTTTGCTGTCCGACTGACCGCCTGCACAATATGGCCACTAGAGCTGCAAAAAAAACATTGTCAGGCGTTTACAGGACAAAAATATCATGCATATCACTGTATATCACTGACATAGTCCGCTTCACTGAACGAAATGGCCACAAGAGATAAAAAAATACATTTTTTTGTTAAATACAAACAATATTTGCATGATTAATTGTCATCAATGAGAATATTGATATTGAAAAATGAAACAGATTCATGCGGGACTTATGAATGTAACTGACATTTAAAGCAAAAATATACACGTCTTCGTATTTGATTACAATTTTAAATCAACCATTTGTTATATATGTAATACGTGTGTAGCATTAGTATTTAACTTTTACAAGTATTACATTATTTAAATCATAATTGCCTTTAGAATGTATAAGCATAACCATTCCTGAACATGGAAGGGTCCTTGGCAACATGAGGAATGTTGGGAAAGATATCAGGTACACATGTGAACACGGATATAAAGTAAAGAACAATGTGCCTACACCTGTTGCTGAATGTCTGGAGACAGGACTTTGGAGCGTCAATGTTGAATGCGTAAACAGTAAGCACATTGACATTATACATTTACAAATAATTCAATCTCCTTATTAATATGACCTTGTTTAGAGTAAAAAACATATCATCCACTTTGTAGCAAAACAGGCAGATTTATTGAATATTGTTCGATTATCACCCTATTAAATATTTCATCCCAAACAACGGAATGTGTGTGCGAGCCATAATGGGTCCTTTCAATGCAATGAAGACTCATATTGGAAATCGTTGAGATATTATTATAATTTTATACATTTCTAAAAAGTAGAAAACATTTTTAGCAGAACACAATGCATTTAGAAGATTGCCGATTATTTTATCTCTCTTACACTTAGATAAAGCAATTGAGATGAATGGTAAAGCCTATGTGATTAAGACATCTATGTGATTAAAACCTCTATAACATCAGTAGAACTTACGTTAAAAAATATGTGAACCAGGAGTAATAGTAAAACCTGTTAATCTGGTAATCGAGATTTAACAGAGGCAGAAGAAATTGTTAAATTTGATTTTCTTTCCTATCCCAAGCCGGAAACAATTGCTAATGTTACAATATATTTTTGGATGTTTCATATGACATGATATCCAAATAGCCAATGTAAGACTTTTCGTTCAAGTGCTTGCAGGTGCATAAAATTATACATGCAGATGAGAGACAGATGAAATCGCTTTATTGCCTTTGCAAACAAATAAAAACAGAGATTTTAATCTACAGTTATGTATTCTTTTCTTTTTCATAAGGCTTAGCAATTCAATGGAACATGTACAATAACCTTACATGATGAACAAATTATTATAAATTTTATCCTACATATTGGTGTATTTTAATTTAGAACATAACAACGTGAAAAACAAAAAGAGGAAAAACATTGGAAATCAATTTAAACAAATGCATATTTTTTAAGTTAACCGTGTCAATTTATCAATCTCAAATCAAATACCTCTTAGTCAATTATGTTAAACTCTCGAATCGTTGCTAGAGGGAGATGCAAAGTAAATTAAAATTCATCACCGCGATTGAATATGATAATTCAAACAAAATTGCATGTATCATATTGAGTAACATACTTAATATTTCAAAGTTCTAACATATATTTCCCCTTATCTATAAGTACATCTTACTCAAATTATTGCATCAGTTTAACCTATTGCCAACAATTTTACTAGGAATTATATTTCACTCGATAAGGTTGCACTTGTTGTGTTTACAACATGTAATTTATATTTGTGAAACTGTGTCAGTTTCGATAATTAATGAGATACCTTGTCTTTTCTGTAAAATTCTTAACTGAAGGAATGTCTCTGTCATAATAAAAGGTATGGAGCATTTATTGCCATGATTTCGAAAAAAAAGTATTTTACATTTGTATCATTTAGTGGCATACACGTGGGCAACCTGGACTGGCTGGAGTCAATGTAGCGTCTCTTGTGGTGGCGGTCAAAGAACAAGGACAAGGTCGTGTACCATTCCTATACAAGGCATTGATGATGTTCAATGTTTACAAGATGATCCGGTAAATCATCCGGGCATTGAATCAGAGACATGCAACCACCCAACTTGTGAAGGTAAAACGATAAATAACTGGCTCTACTAGTTAAAGAAAGTACAATAACGTAGTGATTTAAAAGTAACTTGATTCTTTACATAAAGGAAATGAAATTATGAAATGAATGTTTGAAATTCTTTATCATATCAAAATATCATATCAGATGAAAGTCGATTTGTTTAAATGTTTTGTTTCTGGTTATTTTATAGCCCCGACGATAGGCAAGTTTTGTACGGTAGATGCGGACTGTATAGAGACTGAAGGCATGTGCATTGGAGGGAGATGTTTCTGCAACCCCCTGTACCGATATAACGTGACCTTACAAAATTGCATTAAGGGTAACTTGATTTGTACAATTTATTTTGTGAATTTGTTTTGAAATTCCATACCAATAAACGAATACTTGTAACTGAAGCTATGTCTCAGATATCTTTGTTTTGTTTACCCGAAAGTCTGAGTATGTAACGGTCAGCAAGTTATGACTTATATGACTAAAATGGTAAAAGCTGTTAATTGATGCATGAGGTTTGTCCCAAAAAACTTGGAAAATAATCTTATAAAATGAAAAAAAATCAAATCAATTTCAGATCTATGGATTCTTAAAGTCAATATATTTCCATTTTCCATACAAATTGCATACATGATATGATATGGAATTACGAATGAAAGACACTCACACCATTGCAGTATATACGCAGCAGTACAAGCAGTACAAGACAAGACACCATTTCGACGTCAACAAGATTCGATAAAATCCTCACTCGACATGTATGATATAAGGACGTCTATCTCGTCCTTGATCAATGGCTCCTGCACCAAACGTACAGGAATCGTTTGCATTTTAAGACTTTAATAAAAATGTCCTGTGTTGATCCCTTATCTGTGTGATACGTAACAGACATTCACCTGTCTCTTGCGCTGAGTTCGCAATATCGCTATAATGTTGTTCTTCCCGCTCGGAAAATTGTCTCTAAAACTCCTTTCAACGTTTAATAAAGGCCTGGGTCATCTGTAAGCCTTCATATATATATTGCGTCTCCCTTATCATTTGTTTGTCTTATTCTATGATATTTAAACAGACATGCATGGCTTTGTGATAGTGAATGTCAAATAAAACCATTTGATTATATTTTTAGCAGCTGGTTTAGAAAAGTATGCTTGCTATAAGAAAAAGTTGTGTATTATGTCCAAAGTCTGAACAATTGACATCGAATACACCTGTTTACGATTCTAGAACAATGCCTGCTAGGTGATTGTAGTTTTTTGAGTGTACATCAGCAAAAAGAACACATTTTTAGATTAAAAATAATGAGCCCCGGATTGCATAATGACGATTTATTAAATAGCAATTTAAAAAATTTAATTACCCTTTTAAATATTTACCGACTGGTTAGATCATGTAGATATTTCAATAGAAAATACAAGTGTAAACTAAAATGCAAAAAGTGCGTATAGAACTTTAATCTGAACTTTTGGGGACAACCCTCGTGGGGACAACCCTCGTTTTTACAGTGTCAATAGAAATAAGAAAACATAGCTGAAGCAGACAATTGAGTTAGCAATTATATATTGATATTGATATCATGTCAAACTCATTTTTCCTTACTCATTTTACGTCATGAATTTATTTATTTATTTATTCATTTAATTATTTATTTATTTTTTTATTTTTTTTATTATATTGCTTTGTAATATGTTGTGTTATTACAGTGTGTGAAATTCTCACAGATGAATTTGATGTGTTTGAGCACGTTGCTATTGTTGGTTACAATGACATACAGTACGAGATGCCAGCTGCCAGCGTTGACGTCTGTATAAAGGAATGCATTAGCAACACAAACTGTCTTTCCATTGACAGGTACAGTAAATTTGGAATTCTGATGTGCAATCTATCACAAGTGTCACGTGACATGATACTGGATGCATTACCAGGACATTTATTTGATTATGACGTGTCTTCAATTTATACAAGAAAATGTAAATAAATGTTTACCATGTGTAAAACTGTTCAAATGCATGAGCTATCTCTTGTAGTATGTACTTATTTTGAAATGATAAATGTCAAGATCATTGTTTCTCTTCATTACTTTAGTTTAAGGCGACAACGGACAATTTCCATGGTACTACCATAAATGTCGTTGAAACCAACTTATTTTAGTAATAATTGTTATTTATTTAAATTTTGTGCATTAAATGTCTTTGATCTTCATAAAAAATATCATATTTGAAAAAAATGACTTTGTAAATTATTGATTTTGATAAAAAGTATATAATCTTAAATAGTCATACCAAAGTCATTTTTTTATTTATTTTTTTTGTCATCAAATTTTTTGAATATAAACATAATTATAATATCTGGGTACCCGTGTCTTAGATTTTTTCTGTCTTTTCTCAAAAAAATAATACGTCACGTTGAACAATTTATGCGTCTTTTTCCAGCATACATATTACGTAATTAAAGATAATTAAGTCGCTGATTTAGCAAACAAAATCCCTGACATGGTTCCCTTTGCAATTTAATTCCCTTTCATGTGCTTTAAACCGCATGTAAATTGCTTGTTTATTAAAAAAGTTATGCCGATTCAAAGTTAGTCCGACGCGCATCAAACGAAGTGTCATAAATCGGCTTTCTTTCTGACACCCCTACGTTTTCTGTTAAATTATTGTATAACACGCAAATATCACACCAAAGGGGATGACAAAATGCGGTAACACATGCTCTAACAACTTATATGACCCAGTAACATGTGACCAATTAAAAAGCAGCTGATAAATATCATTTCTTCAAATCTTAACGTGATTTTTGATGTTATTATCATTATTTAGCATCATCATCATTATTATTACAATATTATATCAGTATCACTCTGCCTGTGTATTCGTGTATGAAATTTCGTTAAAATATAAATTAAAATAACGAAAAACTGTGCCCCTGACAGACTTTTAAAGTCCGTGCATGGTACGTTGTACAAATAAGAACGAGATATTATATATTTTTGTGCGATCAGTTCATATAAATGCTTGACATAATTTAATAGAAATAAAAGGAATTTCTCGATCAATATGATCTGACGTTCTTGACTTTTATTATTCCGAATTTTATCTATACACGGCATACATAGATTCAGTTTCTTCTGGGACTTACAATAAATTGTGTTCGATTTACTAGTGAACAATATATTCAAACCGTTCACTGAAAATATATCTTTCTCATTGATTCATAAAGAATTAATCATCCGAAGACTATCGTAAAAATATTTTAGAAATTTGTAAACGACACCTGACCACCTGTCATACATAAAAGTGTTGTCTGTTTCTTTTCACATTGTTAGAAAAAACGAGGTTGCATGCAAAGCAAGCTTTTGAATCCGTACTTAGTTTATAAACTCAATATAATGTAGATAATGATAAGATTACGGAATAAATAAATTTCACACATTATGGATAATGGCAGCTACATTATAATAATGTAGCTGCCATTATATTTTAACCATCCCCATGGTCGTGCGATTTACCGCTATGCTAAATTATTTGTTACATCTTGGCCGACAATTTCTTAATTTATAAAATGGCTACTTAAATGGTAGGCGATACAATGTTGAAATATTCATAAAAGATGTACAGTATTTTTATGATTAATATCGACTAATAACAAATGAACCGGTAATTCGTGGATATATGTAACTTCCGATTTCCCTCATTGGTGCCACAATAGGGGGCGGCGCGTTATAGATAATTGACAGGTTACGCACATTGTGGATAAAAATGGTAAAGGTATCGTTTTAAAACGTTTGGGACTAACTGCTTCCAAAATTAAATCACGAATGTATTCAGAAAAGGTTGATAATTCTACTAAGCAAAAAATCTCATTTTAGGTATTTTATTGATAATTGTCTCCGTTATCACCTTAAACATCTTTTATTGTTTATATATACATACGCAAACTTTCACAATACTACACAATTATACATAAAACATTAATGTAAATATATTGGGCCAAAAATTACAACAACATTATCGAGGGCCCTCATCTTTTCTCTTTATTATCAGGACACTAACAAAGTTTGCACTATTACCCTATGCTACGACCGGATGTAAACAATACGTTCGCACAGGGCATGCGCGGTGGTTAAATCCCACCCATTTTATTCGATTAAATTCTAGAACAACCACTACTTTCGGTTTCAATTTTGCTGACAAGGAACAGTTTGAGTCAACGTAAGTGTTAATTTTAATTTCAATGTCCAAAACTTTGCACTACACGGCATAATTTTCATTACATATCCGGTATTATCATCGTCATGGTAGTTTTTATTCCAGTCGGTCAAAATGACGGTACACATTTACATGTAAACAAACAGATTTAACTTCTCAGACAATTTAAATAAGGAATGGACACACGGTAAACTCTGTTGCAACGTAAAGTATATTCATAAACCTGTTTGAGAAAAATTGTCTCCGTGTTCAAATAAATTTCAAAAACGGGAAAAAAAATCAGTCTTTTACCGATACCCTGCAACAGAACCTTATTATTCTGATGAATTAAATTGACTTTATAACGTTCGTATACAATTATTTATTGATCGATTTTCATTATATTTATTTTGTAATACCTATCATTCAATATGCAATCAAACAAAACCAAGTTTTCCTACATTCAAGGAAACTGTTAGTTAGGACGAGCTTTCAAAACGAACAGGTAGCAATTTCCAACACGCTTACCGAAACTCCAACATGGCGGCTCATTTGCATAATTTATTCATAAACGCAGGAGCATAGAACTTTGTTAGTGCAGGACTGACAGAAATAACCGATTATGTAAGTTATGCTCGTATAAATATTATATAATAAAATTGTGAAATAATATTATGTATTAAATACAATATCTCATGCAATAATTAGAAGATCTATGAGTATAACAGATCGGAATGTATGTCGTGTGTGTTTTTTATAGAAATAAATGATTGTTCACGTACAGTTATTTCTTTTTTTCTTTTTTTTGGGTATCAATTAAAATATTATATATTTTCTATATCCAAAATTTTAATATTATATGTTATTATAATAAATACAAATGCAACGTTAAATAATGCATGCGTATCATATATTTTTACAAGAAACGTATGTTGAATTCTATGAGATTTGAGTATTTTGAATGTATTAACCAACTGTGTCATTAAAATACCGGTATCTACCAATATTTAACTAACAAAATACTCAGGTACCCACTCTTACCATGAATAATGCATCAAATAATCAATAAATAAATAAATTAGCAAAATTGTAAATCATCTGGGCATAAAATATCGCCCTGTATAATTATCGTTTACAAAAGTCGTTCAGTAACAGATCTATAACTTTGCTTTTTGATGCTCTGGTTGCGTCAGGTTTTCATTATCTTAATTAAAATCATTCACTAGTTCAACTGTTGATTTTACCTTTGATTCAAGAATCGTTTTAAATGTTTATGTTCGGTTGGCAAGATATCATATTTGATGTTTTTGTTATGATTTGCACATTGGAATTAAGTACTATTATAGTTACTGTATATAATTCTCCACGGTATCTATAATAAGTGCAAAGCTTTTACTGAAAAGGTAGCTTTCTGTATTATTAACATTATGTAATAAAAGCGCCATTACTTTTCCCTAATTGGGATTTTAGTCCCAACATAACTCACGTATGCAAATTCGAAAAAGACAAGTTTGTTACATAGGGCAGTTGGTGTGTTAGTTTTCGAAGCACTTGGTAACTTTCAGATAAAGTTAAAAAGAATGACATCTATTATTTATTAATTTTTATTTTATCACTATACTTTACTGTTAATAATTTTATGATGTCTAATAAAATTGTGGCTGTGTAAATTATTCGCAATAAAAGAGTATTTTTTACACGTAATAGAAAGAGCATCAAAACACGAAGCTATCTTATTTGTACAATGGGGCGTAATAAAATTACGTACTCTTTCGTCACAATATGAAATGCCACAAAATGTTACCAATGAACAAGCATCTGAAAATGACTTTTCTATCGTTATCCTTTTCCCTGCCGTCATAATAAGTAAACCCTAGAAAAAATGAGCCAATCAACGAGCTTTCATCTCCGACAGACAGTGCGATTACTGGAGTACGGGTAACTAATACCTACACTTCAGTTAAGTAAACGCATTGTGTCTGTATGGGTAAACGATTTAACTCTGATCCATAAATTAGTTGCTATTCATGTATGTTAGAATCATCAAATTTTGTTTTGATAGTTTGATTAAATGCGACGTAAATTAATGATAATATCTGTTAAATGCAGTTCCGATCTGAACCGCATAGGGATTTCAGATATTTTTCTTGCATATTTTACCTTTTTTTGAAATGTTTGGCCTAAAAATGACGCCATGTTGAAGCACGCGACCCATCTATTCATCTTGCACTCCTATGACAAACGAAATTTCTAACATGCGTAATTTAACTAACTGAAACATCAGTCTGATATGCAAGAATACCGTATCCACAATGGTCGTAAAATGTCATATCCGTTAAATACAAAAAATATGTATGCGGTGATAAAATGTTGGCAACCATACTGATATTAATAAATAAAACAGCATCAATAATATAAGTAATTATGAAAGATCACGCAATGCTTTTTATGCTATTTGGTCCATCATAATATATCACCTTAATAAGTCTCAGCATCGTTTTGTTCTACTTGTTTTATTATCAAGCATGTATTATTGCCTTTAGAATGCATAAGCATAACAATCCTGACAATGGAATGTTCCTTGGCAATATGAGGGATGTTGGGAAAAATATCAGGTACAAATGTGAAGATGGATATAAAGTAAAGGACAATGTGCCTACACCTGTAGCTGAATGTCTGGAGACAGGACTTTGGAGCGTCAATGTTGAATGCGTACACAGTAAGCACATTGACAAGATTGCAATACAAACATTAGAATTGACTTTAGTTTGTTTAGATTTTAAAGATTTTCCCCCTGTGGTACCTCAATTTTTTCTTTGCTTACAATTCCGACGTTGCAATGGCTGTTTAGAACAAACCAAAGCTGAAATTGATAAAAAAAAAACTCTAATTTCAAACGTAATGAAAAAAGAAAATCTTACTTCAATTCATTCAGTTTACCATTAACCAAATATCATTTCTAATTTTTATTTCATTTTAACATTCTGAAGAAAATACATTCCTTCCACTTGGTGACATTTGGGCATATTTCAGTATCCTACGAGCAATAACTGTAATGCAATGATATTTACCAGCCCGAAGAATACGTATACAATACATCGTTTGTTAGACAGCCTTTTAAAAAACTCGATGTTTTCCAAATTCCTAGTAGCTTTTAGAATGTTAACTCATATGTCAACAATTATTTATCGTCTATAACAATTCTAAAATAAGTTTTCTTTCTTATGAGTGTATGTAGAATTAACAACTCCACATAAAATCTCTCTGAATCAAACACATTTTCCTCCCGTAAAATACTCAACTTCAAAAATGGCTGTCGCTTACTTTTCAAAAGATAGTCTCTTATAAATATCTGCGAAAAAAAATACGGAAATATGCTCAGCATTGGTATATTTTTCTTCTTCTAGAATTGTTTAAGTATTAAAACAAGCGATCATTCTTTCTTTTTTGTATAAAGTAGATAATATATCATCACCAATTAACGATGAGTTTTGGACTTTTTTTTTTCTTTCCCAAGACTTCATACATTTTTGTGAAATACGTCTGAAATTGAGAGCTACCAGTAGGGAAAAGAGATTTGATATTAAATTGATATCTAGAAAAATTCATTTAAAATTGTATTTATTAAACATAAAATAAAAATAATATCTGTTTCTTTTTTACAAGTTTAAGTTGTTTGTTTGTTTCATCTCGTGAACTTCAAAAACAGTATTCTCACTCGTGGCTATGCCACTCGTGTGAATACTGCTTTTAAAGCTCACTCGGTGAATTATAATTTCATCTTACACAAAACACACAAAGATCTTCTTTGTATTCAAAGTCAATAAAGAAAAATACTCTATTTTTTAATATCAATAAAAACGTGCAAATCTAGCAAGGCATTTTGAAATTTTTCCAAATAGTCTATTAAGATATCGGGGTTTTTACATGATTATAGTTCTTTAGTTGTAATAATTCACTTGATTTTTCACCCGTTTCAATTAATACATTTCAATTTGAACATTTATTATTAAAATATCGGTGTTCAAATCATGAACCATTGCTTCATAAACTTGTACGATGGGTTACAAGATGCATCAAATTTCATCAAAGCGACTTACACAACAAACAATATTACATGAAAAAAATTCTAATGCAACATTATATTATAAAAATTCACAATATAAAACTCTCTTTTATCTGGAAAAAATACAATTATTAAATTTAATTAATTTTACCAAGTGACTGATCATTCAAATAATATTATATGAAACAATTTTTTAACACACCAACCTAATATGAATATTTCCTAAAGCCTCGTTATGCTTCAGAAATACTTTTACTTTTATTTCACTAAACCTTTTATAATTTTTGGTGGCCTGTTATAATTTCCAAGCAGTAAACCATTGGATAATTATCTGAATCATCTTTTGTTTTGTTGTTTTTTAGCCATTTGTAAAGTTATAGTGATTAAGTATATTGTAAAAATGTAAATAAAACTACTTTGTTCACATTTTCTTACTATATGACAAATAATTTCACTCAAAGCGCTACTTTCAACAGATAATAAGCATCTCTTATCTGTGCTATTATTGAAAAGACCAATGTCTCTGGCATATATATTGTAACACTTTCGTTAAACAAAAGAGTTTTACATGTATATCCTTTAGTAACTTACACGTGGGCAACCTGGACTGGCTGGAGTCAATGTAGCGTCTCTTGTGGTGGCGGTCAAAGAACTAGGACAAGGTCATGTACCATTCCTATTCAAGGAATTGATGATGTTCAATGTTTACAAGATGATCCTGCCATTGAATCAGAGACATGCAACCACTCAACTTGTGAAGGTAATAGTTCCATTAGTTAAAGATAGTAATACAATGTACTGCTTTAATAAATACTTGATTTTTAACAAAACGGAAGTGGAATTATGAAATGAATATTTGAAATTCTTTGTAATATCAAAAGAGATATGATTGGCATTGATTTACTGATTTTTTTTCTGGTAAATAATTTAAGCCCCGACCATAGCAAATCATTGCACGGTAGACAGTGACTGTATAGAGACTGAAGGCACGTGCATTGGAGGGAGATGTTTCTGCAATCATTTGTATAAATACAACTTGACTTTAAGAAATTGCATAAAGGGTAACTAGTTTTTTGCTTTCTAGAATTTGATTGATGAGAAATTTAAATTTTAATGTAACATATAGTCATTATTTATCTCTGAGGATATTTTTTACAGATGTGTCTTATAGTTATGACCAAAAAGTCCCAAGAATGACTCGTGCATAATCAAGATTCATACGTGTAAATGAAGTGACCTGTTTAGTGAAATATTTAGTTAGCGATTTCACATGTACATTTTGTATATGTGTACTCGATCGTGGAAACTTATTATTTCTTGTAATATTATTGCCAAATAATCAGTCTTGTAATAGGGGTGTGGACGGTAACTTGCACTTGCCATTACTGTCCATGAACAGACTCGATCAAAACTAACCCTGCAACATTTTCAATTTTGTCTTTTTGAGCGTTCTTTAGATGTACTCGTATTTGTCCCTATTTTGTTATTGCAGTATGTGACTCTATAACCGATGTATTTGATGTGTTTTACCACGTTGCCATTGGAAGTTTCAATAATGTTGTACAGGGGAGACCAACTGACAATGCAGACAGTTGTGTGGCGGAATGTATCAGCATCAATAACTGTCTGTCCATTGACGTTGTCCTAGACGCTTATGGAAATCTTTTTTGTAGCATGGCTTCAGTATCACGTGACATGATGCTGGATGCATACCCGTCCAATATCATAGATTACAAGTCCATGCTTTATACAAGGAAGTGTATTTAAGGTAATATATGTATAATTGACACTTATTCAAAAAGTGTTTAAAAAATTATATTTAAAACTTTACTATACTCTGGACAAAAGTTGACCATCTTGCTGACAATTAAAGTTCAACTTTTGTAACGGTTTTATTCAACAACTGCAACAATTATGTTTTAATTATATGTAGAAAAGTTTCACTCACTTAATATTTTCCTTACTTGAAAAGTGAAAATAATGAACTATTTTTTTAAATAACTACAAATAAATCAATGTATGTTTTATTATTATTATTATTATTATTATTATTATTATGATGATGATGATTGAGACAGGTACCCGTCATTTTACAGGCATGCTTGATTAAAAGTGAAAAAAGAAGTGTGCAATCATCATTATCAACTTTGACAATCTATTATAAATATTAGATATAGTACCTCAACGAAGTCGATGTACACCTTTATACTTTGGTTTTCGATGTTTTGAGAGGCTATGAGCGGCTGTGTGGAAAATTTTGTTGATTTCTTAAATCATTATAGATATTATATTTTTCATTCAAAAATTTATTTATCAACATTATTTGAGTCTACTGAGAATTGAAAACAAATGGGACTCCATTAGGGTTCACTTGACAATTGCAAGCAATATTTTTATTAAGCCAAGATTCCAAATCTAATTCTGTCTGTTAATTTTCTTTTCATAATGATTCGATGTTGAGCTCTGCACTTTTTAGGATATTGTTCGTGATTCGATATAAATCTACTGATTGAAATTTTAAACCTAAAATGTGAACAAGTCTACAAGTTTAAAGGCATATTCATCCTCAAAAATTCAATATTTTTTTATTCTTGAGAAATGTCAAACATGTTTAAAATTGTGTTTGAATAATAAATTTAGGGCATGTTAGATGTTTAACCATTGATAAAAGCAGCGCTGGGCTTGTAGTTATGTGTCATAAAGGTAGCAAAATGTAAACAAAGTAGTGTTTTGACTTCCATACAAAATACTTATTGACTGTAATTATACCGATTGCTAACAGAGCTGTAATGGCAAAGACAGTCCATGTTTATGGCAAATAAAGATTAATTTTACAACTTTTACAAGATACCAAAAACTTAAAAGATTTTGGGAAATAAAACTGGTAATACGATCAGTGATCACATGTGTCGCCTCATGATGGCCAATTTCATGTTGGGACAAGTTTTGTGACAGACGGACAGACAGACGGACAGTGCACAACTAGACTTGGTACTGATCATTCCTGTAAAGTTTGGATAAAATTGCACCAGTAGTTTATGAGGAATAGTCCGGACAAGCTTGAGTGTATTTGGCAACACACAGAAAAAAACACCTTTTTATCAAAGGGCCATAACTCGGCCAAAAATCATTCAACTGGAAAACCCGTGCAATATGCGAAAGTACTTGAGCTACAGATCAATCCTGTAAAGTTTCATTGAAATTGCATTAGTGGTATCAGAAAAGTAGTCCGGACAAACTTTAAAAATAAAAATTATTAAAGGGCCATAACTCTCAAAAATCATTGAACCAGAAAATGCTGACAATATGCACAACTAGACTTGGTATTGATCAATCCTGTAAAGTTTGGATGAAATTGCACCAGTAATTTATGAGGAGTAGTCCGGACAAGTTTTGTGACGGTCGGACAGACAGACGGACAGACAGACAGACGACGGAGAAGTGAACCCAATATGTCGCCACTACTCCGTCTACTCCGTAGAGGCGACACAAAAATGGTATTGTTTCGGTACCATCTTTAACTAGAGTTGTTACATAAGGAATATCCCCTTTACCTCTATGACACAGGATTTTTAGGTCATTTGGTATCATTTTGTTGGACTTTAAACTTAGTTACAAGAAAATATTTCATGGAGTACAGAATTTACAGTGCTGACATAGAACTGTCTAAAATTGTCATCTTCAGTTGAAGCCTTGACCTTGAGCCGGATCAGCATCATGGGTTCTGCGGATCATCCTGTTAGGCTGAACATTTGAGTCAAGTTGAAAAAAAATCCATTATGTATATTGAAGCACATTCACGTGTGGTAATTATTTATTTCTAAACATTCTTGACAGTTAAATATTCTTGCAATGAATAAATGTTGTTGTTTTTTATTTCGAAATAAAACCTTCAAATAAGATCACAATGTCTCCAGGTTTTTGTTGCTTATAAGGTTCAACAATATTTTTATTTATTTATTTAATTTGGCTCTGACGGCAATGTGTTCTCCCCCGGTCTTATAATTGCCGCTGTTGATGATGGTTTTCCAAATAATACTTCCGGTTTATCGTCTGCTGTCGTTTTCTTAGCGTTGCTTGGGCCAGGACTCACTGTAACTGTTTGCTGTTGTGGACTCCCAAAGCCAAAACTACTTTGAAACACTGGTTTACCCCCAAAAACAGACTGATCTTTGCTTGGCGACTTTCCAAAAAATGACGGACCAAAATTCGTTGATTGCTTTTGTGGAGGAGGACCAAATGAAAAACTTGGACTTCCTTTCTGTTGCATTTGTCCAAACGTTAGGTTTTGATTCTTACCAAATACGTTTTTACCAGCTTCTGCCGTGCTTTGCTGGCTGTTAAAGGCGGACGATCCGAATAAGTTTGATCCTTGTTGCTGGGAAGGTTTGCCAAAAAGGGATTGTTGCTCTTCCGGCTCAGAACCTTTGCCAAAGCTTTGACCCTGTCCAAATAATCCTAGTTGCTGATTGCCAGATTCAGCCCCTTGCTGCGGTGTTCCTCCAAACTTAATAAAACCCGTATTTCCCGCGTTAAAAGATGCTGGTTGTAGCACAGAACCGAACCCAGTTGCTTTGCCGAACCCGCTTCCATTGTTCTGTGGCTGCGGTGATTTGGAGCCAATATTAGATTGCTGAACACTTCCGAATAAACCGGCGTTTGACTGCTGATTCTGTTCTTTGCCGCCAAATGAAAAACCTGTGTTTTGTGCAACTTGGTTGAATGCAGCATTCTTCGTTCCAAATATGCCTTGTTGTTTGACAACATGAGTGTCCATATCCCACTTAAAGTTCAAAAGAAATAGTTCTTCTGTGCAGCAGTTTAATTTATGTGTGTCAAACACGATATATCTTGATTGTTTCACGTCTTTCTTGCATTCAAACACACACATTTCCAATGAACCTTGAACTGTATATCCTCGGTTTTGAAAGTCGATAGCAAAGGCTGACAGAATGGTCGGGTTAACCTCGAACTGAACTTTCACTATAGCATTTATGTTTCTGACATACTGTTGGCCATTAAACAATCTAGGAGTCAAAGTTTTACAATCATGTTCACAGCATTTCTGTTCTTCAATGGTCTGCAAATCTTGCTTTATTCTAACAGTAAACTCCGTTTTATGAAACAATGATTCTGCAGGAATAATATCCAATATTGCCGCCATAGTTTTATCATATCCGCGAATTTTAAGACGATATTCATCCATTTTAGAATTCATGAAATTAGCCTGAAACAATTTCATGGCTTCTGAAAGTCTTTTAAGTCCAAGATTTACAGAATCTTTGTACAGCATCTCAATATTTCGTGTGTTAATGTTATTGTTGCCGGAAAATCCACCAAACAACCCTCCTCCGCCGTGATACCCTGCAGCAGGAGAAAACCCGGTATCCTTGAATGGCAGTTCGTCATAGAGCAAGAAATGTAGAATTGCTCTGAACGACGTAGGATCCGCCTCTATGAAATACCGGCCATCTTTGTCTTTATAAACTGGACTACGTCCTGTGAACATGGCTGCCAGCTCGCTGTCCTCATCTTTTGTCAATGTGGACAATAGCGTTCGGAAGTGCGTGCCCGACACATTCAAGTCAATAACGCCAGGGAACTAAAATAAACAAAATAACAGATATTATACAATATGATAATAGTAAGAAATGGAAAACTTTAGCTATGGTAATGTTTGTACATTAATTACTGAATCATACATGTAACAAGGGTGCCATAGTCACAAAATACGCCCGTTTACGAAAGCTTTAGATGGAGATGGGGGCATTATGGATCTAAAAAATTCTGATTTAAGATTTTATTCTAGGGAAATACATTTCATTACAATTCTTAATCTTTGAATGAGCTGAACTGATATTTACTTGAAAATTAAAATATAATTAAATTTCTATGAGAAAGTATTTACATTTGATAAGGTAATTACTGTATGATCTTTATGAACAAATACCAAGTCTACAGAACACCATAGTTATCACAGTTAAGAATCTTGACCAATGAATGAAACATGTGTAAATAAATGTTACATTCTTTAGAACATACTCAAGTCCAAGAAAGAGGATTATTTTATGCCCTTTGATTAAATTCTATTTTTAGAATTGAAAGTGAAAGTAGATCAAGGGGAGTAATTGTGTAAGTCATTTATGAACAAAGTAATAACTTTGTTGTCGCCCTTTGATTAAATTCTATTTACAAAATCTGGATATTTCATCATCTTTAGTGACCTTGACCTTGTATATATTGACCTAAATTATATGTATCACAGCCATAGTCTTGATAATGACCATTTGTGTTACAATCCCTCAATAAATGATGACTAAATGGTCCATATACACATCTTCATATTTTTATCTGAACTTTGACCTCTATGTGTGACCTTGACCTTGGCCGCAAGGACCTGAATCTTGCACGCGACACTCCGCCTCACAATGGTGAACATTTGTGCCAAGTAATATTGAAATCCCTCTATACATGTGGAAGTTTTGCTCCGGACAAGCATTTTTCAATGAGCTCTAAGTGTGACCTTGACCTTTGACCTAGAGACCTGGTTCATGTGCGCGACACTGCTCCTCATAGTGGTGAACATTTCTATGAAGTTTCATTAAAATCCCTTCATACATGTAGGAGATATGCTCCGGACAAAATTGGACGCCGCCCGCCCGACCGCCCGCCCGCCAGGGGCGTTCCCATAATACTTCCCGTTTTTCAAACGGGCGTATAAAAATGTAAAGAATGGAAACTGTTCGATTGCCTAGTCTCAGAATCACTCACTTTAATACTGACAATATTTTGTCTTAAAAATTGACAAAGCCTCATCATAAAAGCAAACTGTATTTGAGCCGCTTCATGACAAAAACAACATAATGGGTTTGCTACCAGCATGGATCCAGACCAGCCTGCGCGTCCGCGCAGTCTGATCAGGATCCATGCTGTTCGCTATCAGTTTCTCTACTTGTAATAGGGTTTGTAAGAGAACAGCATGGATCCTGATCAGACTGCGCGGATGCGCAGGCTGGTCTGGATCCATGCTGGTCTCAAATGCACTATGTTGGTTTTGTCGTGACACGGCTCATTTATTAGTTATAAGTTATAGATATAATGGATTCGAAGGTATACTGGCATTATCAGTAGAGGGTTATTACAGTTTCTTGTTCATTGATATCTGTAAAAGCAGGATGTATATAAAGCCCGGCCCCACAGGGCGAGGTATTTCATAAAGTCAAATTTGAGCATTGTATATTTTAACTATAATTGAATTTTTTATTTAAATGTTCGCAGCAGTGTCGCAGCAGTGTCGATTTGTCAATGTCAACAGTATAAAGCCAGGTCAAACTACAAAACCCATATGATCTGGCCATATTCTTAACAGTGATATTGTCAGCTGAAAAAATCAGCCTTCAACCTGCCAACAGCGATCATAGCATTATTTTGAAACAGCTTGGTACAAGATCAGAAACCAAGTACCTCAGCGTCTTCTCATATACCAAGTTGTTACCAATATTATTTATATAAAAAGAACAAATTTGAAAATAAAGCAGACGACATTCTTTTACTAAACGACATGTTTTAAAGGGGACAATATTCCAAGATGTAAAGAATATTAATATAAATCCCTGACATAAAATAATGGACACAATTTGAATATACTTTCAAACCGAGGCAAGTTTATCATACAGTTACTTCAAAAACAAATGAGCCGCGTCATGACAAAACCCAACATAATGGGTTTGCGACCAGCATGAATCCAGACCAGCCTGCGCATCCGCGCAGTCTGATCAGGATCCATGCTTTTCGCTATCAGTTTCTCTACTCGTAATAGGGTTGGTAAGCGAACAGCATGGATCCTGATCAGATGCGCAGGCTGGTCTGGATCCAAGCTGGTCGCAAACACACTATGTTGGTTTTGTCGTGACACGGCTCATTAATGTTTAAAATCAACGTACTTTCCACTGCGCAAAGCTATACTATTTATGATATAACAGGTATAATTAAAGATTTGACAACAAAGTATGTCTGATTCAATCAGATACAATAACAAGTGTGATGAACTTAACGTTATCATAAGGAATTAAAATTTTAGTTAAGTATGATAAAAGGTGACAATTTAAGATATAGTTTATCATAAAGACGCGTATTAAAAATGATAAAGTTGTTAATTTGTTTTATTTCCCTCTTTGGTACAGTGAACGCAGAGCGACCACCTGTAGTACGTGTAATAAGATCTTTAGAACAAGTTTATATTTTTCAGTGGATTTCACTGTCGTGACGCCTGTGGCAGTTTCTATTTTATCTTAATCATTCTCTAAAACAACAAATATTTCACTAAAATTTTACTAAAAGTTAAATTAACAATTAATTCATCAACATTTAACAACTTGTCAGTTTGCAATGACTTTTTGATCAAACTTTAACTTTTTAACGGGGTCTTTTCCCAATGTGGAAAATGACAAAAATTCAGAGCTCATCTAAGGTGTCAGTTTTCATGGGAGCAAAATTAATGTCCCCCCAGCGCCAAACCCGGGGAACTGCGGTGGAAGTCCCTTTACCCCCCCCCCCCCCTCCCTCCAGTGCTCGATTAATTGTTTTATCGCAAAATAGTTCTGACTCACTGTGGAAGGATTTAATCATCAGATTGTTCCCGCAGGACACACCTACTATCAAGGATTTTAAAATCAAAGAGTCAAAGTCCCCGCTAATCCGTGCGAAATGGGAGGTCAGGGGACAGACTATTTACAATACCTCCTATGAATTTTGTGTGTTATTTTTTTTGTTGTTGTTGTTGTTGTGTTTTTTGTTGCTGTTGTTGTTGCTTTTTGGGGTGTTTTGTTGTTGTTGTTGTTGTTGTTGTTGTTGTTGATGGGGGTTTTGTACGTCGCACCAACCTTAACACAGTGTAGATCATAATTAGGATAGAGTAAGACCTCAGACCTGTGTCCTTCCGTGAATTATTTCAGGCACACACGGGCACTTTAGTACAACCACTGATTGGACTTAAGCTAGCTCTAATCAAGTCCACGTCGGCTTTCAAACCAACAGCGGTGAGGGCCACTGAGGGGCCAGTGGAACTACAAGGCGACAGACGCTCCTGAGTACAAATCTTGACAAGGGAGGTAAATCAATTACGACCCCGGGAAATTCATTCAATTTCATCAAAAACCTGCCTTAAATCATCATAAATTTTCTTTTGAAAAATGTTTACATTTATCATATTTTATCTAATTGTTTTCATCTAATATCAACTTTACTATGTACACGTACAGTTTGAAATAACTTAACAGTGTAATTTTGACTTTTTTTGCTTAGGGGTTAACTGCATGAGTAGCCCCCCTTCTTGATCCGCACTCGTATACAACATGGGGACGTTGTCAAATTAAAACCTTATGAAAGTCTGTTTAAACTAGTTCCCGTGTTTACCAGGCACTAGACCGTGTCATATTGTTAATTAATATACAGTAAGCAACACATTTTAAGCAAATTTTATAATGGCGGTGTATACATGTTGTAACTTGTTACTTATAAACAGTAGGTCTATGCTAAATCGTACATGTATTTTACGGATAGTGGTGAATAAAATGCAGGACAAGCACATAATTTACACGTTCTAAACTTAATAGCGTTAACCATTGACATATTTACAAATAAAAGCTGACCAATCTAAAATTAATAATCAGATTTCCAATTTATTTAAACATTTCACAACACACTCTAGATCTATATAATGTACAGTTTAAAATGCGGTGATATTAAGATCATGTTGAATAAAACAAAACTAAAATCAAACAAACCTCCGAGTCCGAATCCATCCTTTTTTCGTTTTTTCGAAAATTCAGTAACTTATTACTGCGTATTTCACCACACACCTGTAACTGTAGTTTCGTTTTCGCGTTTTGTGTACGTACAAAGTTCAAGGTGAATCTATTTTAGTGTTTGTTTACAAACCTTTATCAGGAACGACAACCCTGGTGAAATTTATTAAACTTTATACGCCCTATTGCGGCATGCGGTATTTCACGTAGATTTACTTTAAAATTCTTAAAAATGACACTAATAAAATTTTAACTTCTATCAGATAGAGAAAAGAATATTTTGTTTCCTTCTGGATTTGTAACACGTATGATGCACAACATATAAACGATGACTGCAATTAATAGATCTACTATTTTTTAAAATTCAATATATAGCCTAATATTATACAGTACAGTAAGCCAACATAATTTACTAAAGAGGACTTTTTGCGTTTTAAGGTAAAGTATTTTATTAGTATTATTTTTATCATTATCATTATTATTATTATTATTATTATTATTGTTATTGTTATTATTATTATTATTATTATTATTATTATTATTATTATTATTATTATTATTATTATTATTATTATTATTATTATTATTATTATTATTATTATAAGAAAACATACAAACACAATTTATCAGTCCTTGAATTTTTAACATATTTTAATCAGTATTTCAGTCTTAAATTATATCTATTTGCCTTCACTTAATAAGAACCGCAAATCATTGCCGGGCGGATAAAGAATATAAGTCATTGCCCAAATTGGTAGTGGTGTGTGTGTGGGGGGGACTTTAAAGGACCTACAATTTCCACAACGAACAGCTCTTTTACATGCACTCAACATATTAAATATGGAGGTTTGTAATATCCATGTTGTTGTTGTTGTTGTTGTTATCATCGTAGTTGTTGAAGTCAAAGTAATCATCACAATCAGTTATAGTCGTCGTTACCGTTTCAAATGTCGTATCAATGCACGAATTCGTAGTGGCTGTAGTCATGTTCATAGAAAGTGTAATCGTTGTACAAGTGCTCGAATTTGTAGAAATTGTAGTCATGTAGGAAGTTGTAGTTATCGTTGTACCAGTGCATGAATTTGTAGAAATTGTAGTCATGTAGGAAATTGTAGTTATCGTTGTACCAGTGCATGAATTTGTAGAAATTGTAGTCATGTAGGAAATTGTAGTTATCGTTGTACCAGTGCATGAATTTGTAGAAATTGTAGTCATGTAGGAAGTTGTAGTTATCGTTGTACCAGTGCATGAATTTGTAGAAATTGTAGTCATGTAGGAAGTTGTAGTTATCGTTGTACCAGTGCATGAATTTGTAGAAATTGTAGTCATGTAGGAAGTTGTAGTTATCGTTGTACCAGTGCATGAATTTGTAGAAGCTGAAGACATGTTCGAAGTTGTTGTTATCGTTGTACCAGTGCACGTTCCATTAAAGTTGTAGTCATTTATGTTCGAAGTAGGTGTTATGCATGTACCAGTTCACCAATTCGTAGAAGCTGTACATTTTCGAAGTAGGGGTTATCGTTGAAGCAGTGTACGAATTCGTAAAAGTTGTGGTCATGTTCGAAGTAGTGGTTATCGTTTTACAAGTGCATGAATTCGTAGAAACTGTATTCATGACTGAAGTAGGTCTAATCGTTGTACCAGTGTACGAATTCGTAAAAGTTGTGGTCATGTTCGAAGTAGTGGTTATCGTTTTACAAGTGCATGAATTCGTAGAAACTGTATTCATGATTGAAGTAGGTCTAATCGTTGTACCAGTGTACGAATTCGTAAAAGCTGTAGTCATGTTCGAAGTAGTGCTTATCGTTGTACCGGTGTACGAATTCGTAAAAGCTGTGGTCATGTTCGAAGTAGTGGTTATCGTTGTACCAGTGCATATATTCCTAGAAACTGTATTCATGATTGAAGTAGGTCTAATCGTTGTACCAGTGTATGAATTCGTAAAAGCTGTGGTCATGTTCGAAGAAGTGGTTATAGTTATACAAGTGTACGAATTTGTAAAAGCTGTGGTCATGTTCGAAGTAGTGGTTATCGTTGTACCAGTGCATGAAGTCGTAGAAACTGTAGTCATGATTGGAGTTGGTCTAATCGTTGTACCAGTGTACGAATTCGTAAAAGCTGTGGTCATGTTCGAAGTAGTGGTTATCGTTGTACCAGTGTACGAATTCGTAGAAGCTGTAGTCATGATTGGAGTAGGTCTAATCGTTGTACCAGTGTACGAATTCGTAAAAGCTGTGGTCATGTTCGAAGTAGTGGTTATCGTTGTAGTTGTCGTACCTGTGTGGTCGTCTTCATCTTCGACGTCGAACCGAATATGTAGCCGTAAATGTGTTAGTCGTGATCGTAAGCATAGGCATGGTCAAATTCGAATTCGTCGTCTTGACAAAAGAAACAACGATAATGATCATAGAGATATAAGTGGAGCATTTTGACGTGCGAAACACCGGTGGGAAATCGTGAATTCGTGAAGTTGAAGTCGTGAATTCATGAAGTTGAAATCTAGGATTCGTGAAGCTGAAATCGTGAATTCATGAAGTTGAAATCATGAATTGATGAAGTTGAAATCGTGAATTCATGAAGTTGAAATCGTGAATTCATGAAGTTGAAATCGTGAATTCATGAAGTTGAAATCGTGAATTCATGAAGTTGATATCGTGTATTCGTGAAGTTGACACTGAGAATTCATGAAGCTGAAATCGTGAATTCGTGAATTCCGTATTTTGAAAGCGGGAATCCAGGAAGTTAAATTTGTAAATTCATGAAGATAATTATCATTAGCTCTTTTGGATTTTTAGAAGAAGATATTTAAAGTTTTTTCGTTTGGTTGCCATGGCAACCAGAGTTCTGCATGGAATGGAATTCTTTGAACAACTTTGTAAAGGCTTCACACAAGGAACATCCCTAAGAAGTTTCATTATAATCTGCCTTATGGTTTCAGAGGAGATGTCGTTTTAAAAGTGTGAACGGACAACGGACGACAGACGACGGACGAAGAGTGATCCTAATAGCTCACCCTGAGCATATGCTCAGGTGAGCTAAAAATACCAGAAATTCTATAACAATTTATCGAGAAGTGTGCAAACGTTATTGTGCTTTGTTAGGTACACTCATTTTGATTGAGTATACTTAATTTATTCAACATATACGCTTTTCATCCGCAGTTGAATATATTTGGACTACAGTGACAGCTGGCGGCTACAGTGTATGAAACAATATTTTGTTCATCAACGAAAGACCAGTGATGACATTTCAACGTCTTGAATTCTCTTGTTCATCTTCACGAATTCACAATTTAAACTTTTATGAATTCTCGATTTCCAACATACAGAATTCACGATTTCAACTTAACGAATTCACAACTTCACGAATTAACGATTTCAACTTCACACAAAGTCACGATTCAACTTCACGAATTTACGATTTCATCTTCATGAATTCAAGATTTCAACTTCACTCATGTCAGTATTCATTCTGTGTCGGCTCCTTGCCGGGTTGAGCTCGAACCCATGATACACTCTAAACCAACGTTATGTGCAAATGCTAAGCATACTATGCTTCATAATGATTTACAGGCATACGCTTTAACGTGTCGTAATTAGGCACAAGAAACTAAAGGTGCCGTAATTAGGCACAAGAAACACACTGGCAGTAACAAAAGTTATCATAAGAAAACCAGGACATATTTTGAGCTATCACAAGAACTCCGTGACATTTTAAAAATCGGGTATACATTTATAAGCCTGGACTTTATGTTTGTAACTCTCCATTATAATAAGGTAATTAAGTATGGCAACGAAAAAGATCATAAACGAAAAGGTCAATATGTGCGAATGAACAAGTAATTTGGAAATTTTACTCAAAATTACCAGATTTTTTTAAAAGGCGGTGAAAATGGACTAAAATGTTTTTCTGAAACATAATACATATATAAGTAGGGCAAGCCTAATTATCAAAGTTTAATTAAGTGCCTCAAACTCCCCATTTAAAGGTAAAAGTGACCGTTTGTCATAAGAGATCCCCAAGTATATAGAAAAGTTTTCCACAGAAATCCGTAATGTTTCAAGGAACACCGTGACAGTTATCATAAGAACTCCAGACAAGTTATCATAAGAACTCCATCCTTCGTGAAACAGTTCCTCCCTCGTTTATATAGACCCTTTAATACTAAGTATAGGTTAAAGTTTATCAGTACCTATTTAAAAAATTAAACTGGTCAGGCTCGGCGCAGCCGCGCGACCAATTTAATTTTGTAAACTGATCAATCTTTGACGGCTTACTGTTTTAAATAAATTTACTAATTAACAGTCGATTTACTAGACTGATTAACAGTTTGTCGATTTACTCAAGTAAATGTGTTACGGTTCATCTGAAATACTGCAATCCTATTGGACAAAAAAATAATTTCAAACACTAAAGAAATGAAGAACTTAATCCTTACTCTAGTAAGATGCAGATTGAAACTGCAAAAGATTTGAGCCGCGCCATGACAAAACCAACATAATGGGTTTGCGACCAGCATGGATCCAGACCAGCCTGCGCATCCGCGCAGTCTGATCAGGATCCATGCTGTTCGCTATCAGTTTCTCTACTTGTTATAGGGTCTGTAAGCGAACAGCATGGATCCTGAACAGACTGCGCGGATGCGCAGGCTGGTCTGGATCCATGCTGGTCGCAAACGAACTATGTTGGTTTTGTCGTGACGCAGCTCATATATTGAATTATTGTATAAAACGATGGTCAAATGAATAAAAACAGTCGCCATAATAAGTTCCATAATAAGGTCAATAACATATTTCAATACTATATCATGCTGCTGGTAACTTAATTATCGTTATTACTATTTTCGTTTGATTCTTTGGTTTTAAAAAATGAACAAGGAACATGGCAATGCCACGAAACCAGGTTTTCAATTATCATCATTGTAGATAAATATGTTGTAGTTGAAATACAAATACTAGCAACAAACAATGTAACTATGTGCAATGTAAATCATGATTAATGAATTTTCTATTTTTAATAACTGTAACCTTGACCCTAGGAGGCCAAAAAGCCATCCTAAGTGAGGTCTTCATAAACACTTGCTTTACCACAAATTTCATAAAAATATCTTATTCCAAACAAATTATTGACCGGAAACCTATTTTCTATTTTTAGTAACAGTGACCTGACTGGAAACAGATTTTCTATTTTTAGCAACAATGACCTTGACCTTGACTCTACAGGACCCAAAAGCAGGCAGATGAGCTGGCAGGCATGCAACAACCTAGATAGTGTCTGTTTTATAACTAAATAAAGTTTGTTGTGATTAATAGGATATATTACACTAATAATTAAATTTTATGGAAAAACAAAGGGCCATTATAAGGTAAAAGGTAAAAACTTATCCTATCATTAAACCCTGACAATACACAGCAGGGCACTTGAAGATAAAGCTAATCTGTGAAAATATGAACAAAATCCTTTGAGAAATGTAGAAGCAGTTGGGCAACAGAAGAAATTGTTCACTATATACTCTATATAAGGGAAAAAACAAAGGGCCATAATTAGGTAAAAAAAAATATCCAATCACAAACACCCAACAATATGCATCAGGGCACTAGATGACAAAGCTTCTGTGAAAGTTTGAACAAAATCCCTTGAGAAATGTAGGAGGAGTTGCGCACAGAAGAAATTATTCACTGTATATTCTGTATCAGGAAAAAAAAACAAAGGGCCATAATTAAGTCAAAAATTATCCAATCACAAACACCCAACAGTATGCCTCAGGACACTTGATGACAAAGCTTCTGTGAAAGTTTGAACAAAGTCCTTTGAGAAATGTAGGAGGAGTTGCGCACAGAAGAAATTGTTCACTATATATTCTGTATAAGGAAAAATTACAAAGGGCCATAATTAGGTCAAAAATTATCTAATCACAAAACCCCAACAGTATGCATCAGGACACTTGATGACAAAGCTTCTGTGAACGTTTAAACAAAATCCTTTGAGAAATTTACGAGAAGTTGCGCACAGAAGAAATTGTTCACTATATATTCTATATAAGGGAAAAAAACAAAGGGCCATAATTAGGTCAAATACTTTCCAATCACTAAACCCTGACAATATGCACCAGGGCACTTGATGACAAGGCTTCTGTGAAAGTTTGGTCAAAATCTGTTGAGAAATGTAGGAGGAGTTTGCGCACAGAAGAAATTGTTTACGCCCGCCCGCCCGCCCGCCCGCCGACATACCTTAATCTAATAACCAGATTTTTCCTTCGGAAAAACCTGGTTAAAAAATGTCACATCGTGTTTCACCACGCAGTTAAATCGTTCTTACTTTCTTTTTCATGGGACTTGAATATAACTCTTTTTTTTAATTATTTTTGTCCAAGCTTATTTACACGTACCCGATAGCAGAAGAATTTTGTAGTTTCGAAAAATAGTTACATGTAATTACAAAATAGTGGTCGAATAAATATCATTTTTAAAATAAAAATCACAAGCTCAACATATTGAAACAAAGAAAACAATAATATAAAGCTATGTAATTTCTAAAAAAAATAGTATTGTTTCGGTACCATCTTTAACTAGAGTTGTTACATAAGGAATATCCCAATTATCTCTATGACACAGGATTTTTAGGTCATTTTGTTGAACATTTAAACTTAGAAAATCTTTCATGGAGTACAGAATTTACAGTGCTGACATAGAACTGTCAATGTTTATAACCTTCAGTTGAAGCCATGACCTTGAGCCGGATCAGCATCATGGGTCCTGCAGATAATCCTGTTAAGGTGAACATTTGGGTCCAGTTTGAAGAAAATACTTCTTTATAGGGAAGAGTATTTTTAGTGCAAAAAGAAATCAAGCCGGCATAGGAGCCATATGGACAGACTAACCGGAAGTTCTTCTCGATTTGCATTATGAGATTATTTCTTTGACCTCTAAATCCTAGTAAATAACCTCTGTTCACGTACGTCATAAATATGGACATTCAACCGAGTGTGTGCAATCGACAGAACATAAATGTATATTGAAACACATTCAAAATGTTGGAATCATTTATTTCTAAACATTCTTGTCGGTAAAACATTCATGCAATGAATAAATGTTATTTTCTATATTTCGAACAACTGAAACCTTCAATATTGATTACAATGTCTCTAGTTTTTGTTGTTTATAAGGTTCAACAATATTTTTATTTATTTATTTAATTTGGCTCTGACGGTAATGTGTTCTCCCCCGGTCTTATAATTGCCGCTGTTGATGATGGTTTTCCAAATAATACTTCCGGTTTATCATCTGCTGTCGTTCTCTTAGCGTTGCTTGGGCTAGGACTCACTGTTGTGGACTTCCAAAACCAGTACTACTTTGAGGACTTCCAAAACCAGTACTACCTTGAAACACTGGTTTACCCCCAAAAACAGAATGATCTTTGCTTGGCGACTTTCCAAAAAATGACGGACCAAAATTCGTTGACTGCTTTTGTGGAGTAGGACCAAATGAAAACGGACTTCCTTTCTGTTGCATTTGTCCAAAGCTTTGACCCTGTCCAAATAATCCTACTTGCTGATTGCCAGATTCAGCCCCTTGCTGCGGTGTTCCTCCAAAATTAATAAAATCCGTATTTCCCGCGGTGAAAGATGCTGGTTGTAGCACAGAACCGAACCCAGTTGCTTTGCCGAACTCGCTTCCATTGTTCTGTGGCTGCGGTGATTTGGAGCCAATATTAGATTGCTGAGCACTTCCGAATAAACCGGCGTTTGACTGCTGATTCTGTTCTTTGCCGCCAAATGAAAAACCTGTGTTTTGTGCAACTTCTTTGAATGTAGCATTTTTCATTCCAAATATGCCTTGTTGTTTGACAACATGAGTGTCCAAATCCCACTTAAAGTTCAATAGAAATAGTTCTTCTGTGCAGCAGTTTAATTTATGTGTGCCAAACACGATATATCTTGATTGTTTCACGTCTTTCTTGCATTCAAACATACACATTTCCAATGAACCTTGAACTGTATATCCTCGGTTTTGAAAGTCGATAGCAAAGGCTGACAGAATGGTCGGGTTAACCTCGAACTGAACTTTCACTATAGCATTTATGTTTCTGACATACTGTTGGCCTTTAAACAATCTAGGAGTCAAAGTTTTACAATCATGTTCACAGCATTTCTGTTCTTCAATGGTCTGCAAATCTTGCTTTATTCTAACAGTATACTCCGTTTTATGAAACAATGATTCTGCAGGAATAATATCCAATATTGCCGCCATAGTTTTATCATATCCGCTAATTTTAAGACGATATTCATCCATTTTAGAATTCATGAAATTAGCCTGAAACAATTTCATGGCTTCTGAAAGCCTTTTAAGTCCAAGATTTACAGAATCTTTGTACAGCATCTCAATAGTTCGTGTGTAAATGTGATTGCTGCCACCAAACAACCCTCCTCCGCCGTGATGCCCTGCAGCTGGAGAACACCCGGTATCCTTGAAGGGCAGTTCGTCATAGAGCAAGAAATGTAGAATTGCCCTGAACGAAGTAGGATCCGCCTCTATGAAATACCGGCCGTCTTTGTCTTTATAAACCGGACTTCGTCCTGTGAACATGGCTGCCAGCTCGCTGTCCTCATCTTTTGTCAATGTGGACAATAGGGTCCGGAAGTGCGTGCCGGACACATTCAAGTCAATAACGCCAGGGAACTAAAATAAACAAAATAACAGATATGAAACAATAAGATAATAGTAAGAAATGGGAAACTTTAGCTTTGAAAATGTTTACATTACTAAATCATACATGAAAAGATGTAAAGAATGCAAACTGTTCGATTGCTGAGTCTAAGAACCACCCATTTACTAACTAACAACATTTTGTCTTACAATTTGATAAAGCCATATTTATTAGTTGTAAGTTATAGATATAATGGATTCGAAGGAATACTGGCATTATCTTTAGAGAGTTTCTTGTTCATTGATATCTGTAAAAGCAGAATGTATATAAAGCCCGGTCAAACAAGGCAAGTTTATCATATAGTTACTGCAAAAACAAATGAGCCGCGTCATGACAAAACCATAATAATGGGTTTGCGACCAGCATGGATCCAGACCAGCCTGCGCATCCGCGCAGTCTGATCAGGATTCATGCTATTCGCTATCAGTTTCTCTACTTGTAATAGGGTTGGTAAGCGAACAGCATGGATCCTGATCAGACTGCGCAGATGCGCAGACTGGTCTGGATCCAAGCTGGTCGCAAACGCACTATGTTGGTTTTGTCGTGACACGGCTCAAATATTTAAAATCAACGTAAATACCTTTACCCCCCCCCCCCCCTTTCTCCCTCCAGTGTTCGATTAATTGTTTTTATCGCAAAATACCCCCCCCCCCCTTTCTCCCTCCAGTGCTCGATTAATTGTTTTATCGCAAAATAGTTCTGATTCACTGCGGAAGGATTCAATCATCAGATTATTCCCGCAGGACACACCTACTATCAAGGATTTTAAAATCAAAGAGTCAAAGTCCCCGCTAATCCGTGCGAAATGGGAGGTCAGGGGACAGACTATTTACAATACCTCCTGTGAATTTTGTGTGTTATTTTTTGTTGCGTAAATCAATTACGACTCCAGGAAATTCATTCAATTTCATCAAAAATCTGCCTTAAATCATCATAATTTTTTCTTTGATTTATCATATTTTATCTAATTGTATCCATCTAATATCAAGTTTTCTATGTACACGTACAGTTTAAAATACAAACTTGACAGTGTAATTTGCCCTTTTTTTTGCTCAGTCCACAGACACTAGGGGTTAACTGAGTAGCCCCCCTTCTTGATCCGCACGAGGACGTTGTCAAAATAAACCTTATGAATGTTTACTAGGCACTAGACCGTGTCATATTGTTAAGTAATAGGCGGTGTCTATACATGTTGTTACTTATAAACAGTTCTATGCTAAATCGTATTTTCCTACAGTATAGTGGTGAATAAAATGCAGGACAAGCACAGAATTTACATGTTCTAAACTTAATAGCGTTAACCATTGACATATTTACAAATCAGATTTCAAGTTTATTTAAACTTTTCACAACACACTTGCAGTCTATATAATGTACAGTTTAAAATGCAGTGATATTAAGATTATGTTGAATGAAATAAAATAAAACTTAAATCAAACAAACCTCCGAATCCATCCTTTTTTCGTTTTTTCGAAAATTCAGTACCTTATTACTGCGTATTTCACCACACACCTGCAACTGTAGTTTCGTTTTCGCGTTTCGTGTACGTACAAATTCAAGTTGAATCTATTTTAGTGTTTGTTTACAAACGCTTTAAATATCAGGAACGACAACCCTGGAAAGAAAGTTTTTAAACTATACGCCCTATTGCGGCATGTGGTTTACTTAAAAATTCTTAAAAAGGCCACTAATACAATTTTAACTTCTATTAGATAGAGAATAGAATATTTTGTTTCCTTCTGGATTTGTAACACGTATGTTGCACAACATATAAACGATGAATGCAATTAATAGATCTACTATTTCTAAAATTCAATATATTAAATTATATTATACAGTACATTAAGCCAACATAATTTACTAAAGAGGACTTTTTGCATTTTAAGGTTAAGTATTTTATTAGCATTATTTTTATCATTATCATTATCATAATTATTATTATTATTATTATTATTATTATTATTATTATTATTATTATTATTATTATTATTATTATTATTATTATTATTATTATTATTATTATTATCACTATTATTATTATTATTATCACTATTATTATTATTATTATTATTATTATTATTATTATTATTATCACTATTATTATTATTATTATTATTATTATTATTATTATTATTATTATTATTATAAGAAAACATACAAACACAATTTATCAGTCCTTGTATTTTTAACATATTTTAATCAGTATTTCAGTCTTAAATAATATCTATTTGCCTTCACTTAATAAGAACCGCAAATCATTGCCGGGCTGATAAAAAATAAGTCATTGCCCAAATCGGTAGTGGTGTGTGTGTGTGTGGGGGGGGGGGGGGGGACTTTTAAGGACCTACAATTTCCACAACGAACAGCTCTTTTACATGCACTCATCATATTAAATATGGAGGTTTGTAATATCCATGTTGTTGTTGTTGTTGTTGTTGTTGTTATCATCGTAGTTGTTGAAGTCAAAGTAATCATCACAATACAGTTATAGTCGCCCCGTTACCTTTTTAAAAAATGTCTTTACCCAATGAAACAAATTTCCCGAAAGGGGCTGTAGTCATGTTCATAAAAGGGTTTTAATCTTTCTACAAGTATTTCGAATTTGTAAAAAATTTTTTTAGCCCATGTAGGAAAATTTTTGTATTTTATCGTTTTGTTCAGTGCATAAAATTTGTAGAAGCTAAAAGACATTTTTCAAAGTTGAAAGTTTTTTTCTTTTGGTAAACCAGTGCACTTTCCCTTAAAAGGGTTGTATTTAAAGGGTTTCAAAGGGTGGGTTTGTTTTTGATGTACCAGTTAAACCAAAATTCGTAAAACCCGTAAAAAAATTTTCGAAAAAATTGGGGTTATCTTTTGAAGATTTGTAAAATTTTTCGAAAAAATTTTGGTGGCCCATGTTCGAAGAAGTGGTTATCGTTTGTAAAAAGTGTTACGAAATTCGTAGAAACTGTAAAAGTCATGTTCTGGTTTTGTAAAAGTGTACAAATTCGTAAAAGTTGTGGGTCATTGTTTTCGAAAGTAGTTTGTTTTAATCGTTTGTATAGTTTGTCCCCCCCGCCCCCCAAAAACCCCCCCTTGTTGGGGGTGGGGGGTGGTCCGTTTTCTTTTTCCCAATCTCCGTCGTCTCGGAACCAAAAAAATAAATTTTTTTTGTAAGCCCCGTAAAAGTTCCTGTTGATCGTAACAAAGGCAATGGTCAAATTCCCGAATTCGTCGTCTTGACAAAGAAAACAAACGATTGAATTGATATTAATAGAGATTATAAGTTTGGAGCATTTTGGAACGTGCGAAAACACCGTTGTGTTAAAAATCGGTGAATTCGTTGAAGTTGAAAATCGGAATTTCATGAAGTTTTGAAATTTCGTGGATTTCAATGAAAGCCTGAAATTCGCGGAAATTATGAAGTTGAAAATCGTGGATTAATGAAGCTGAAATCGTGAATTCATGAAGTTGAAATCGTGAATTCATGAAGCTGAAATCGTGAATTCCGTATTTTGAAAACGGGAATCCAGGAAGTTAAAATTGTAAATTTATGAAGATGAAATCGAAAATTCATGAAGTTGAAGTGACCCTACCGGTCTTTCGTATGTACAGCTATGTATGTGTAACCTTACGCTGAAAAAATAGTGCCTAAAAGAGATTCAAAATTTAAAATTTACAATTTTTTTTCTTTCGAACAAAATTTTTACTGATTTAAATACAAATAGCAATTAACCTAACTTATAAAAGGCCTTTACTTTTATAAAAAACCCAATATTATATAATATAAAATTAATTATAAAATGCTTAAACAAATTGCATGTTGTAACTTTGATTTTAACTCAGAAGAGAAAAACTGCAACAATTATAGGTTGTGGTTAGTGGATTACAGATTGGGCGTCCTTTTAATATGGACACATTAATTTCATATCTAATCTCTTTGATTCCCGACCCGAACTCAACTCCCTGACACTTTTTTGAAAGGCTTTTGAAATACTTCCCAATTAATGGGTTTTCGATAAATCACTACGCTTAACAAATTAATTTTATTGTCCCTGAACGGGAAAATTACATTTAAGTGGTTAATGTGTCCCATTTAAGGAAATTTTCGTATTTTTTTCACAAATACCTATTTACATTAATTTCTGCAACTTTGGTCTCCGCATCTTCGTTTATTACTGTCGTATTAAAAATTATTGTTAGTTTTTTAACATCCTCATTCTTTTCTTACCACTCTTTTTTCTTTTTTTTTTATTCCCTTCTTTTTCGTCTTCTTTTGTTTTTTGGCTTTTTTTTTCTATGGAACTTATATTTCAAAAACCCTTTTTATCTTTCCTGGACCATTTCTGGTCTGCCCTTAAAAACTTTAAAAAGTTCATATCAGGAAAAATAATTAGGACTTCAGATGTTGTACATTTTAACTAGTATTTTAAATTTGTCTTTTGGGAAATCAAACTTGAACTTAGTTTGGTCCATAACAATTAACTGTTAGCCCATAAATATCATATACTTTTAAACAACATGAACATGCATTTTACGAATACTCTTTTAAAAAATATGTTTATCGGTAATAAAGTTGAACGGGGTTTTAATTTGCCCCCCTTTTTTACTTTTTTATTCTGCCCTACTATAAAAGAAAAAATAAAGGGAACGACAAAAATTTTAAAGACACCGAACAAAATTTTTTATCAGGACAAAAATTTTTAGGGAAATTTTCCCCAAACATTTTAGTATTTTCCTTTATTTGACAAAAAAGTTTTTGGCCGAGCGTTTCAATAATTGATTTTTTTAAATTTCCCAAATTATAGGAGGGCATATTGACCAGTTGGTACACAAAAGAGGCGGGCAAGTCTCGTACGTTGTCGGCTATTAGAGTATAATAAAAGGATAAAATAACACAAGGACGTATTACAGTAATTTAGAATTTATAATACGAGCAAAATAATAGGGGTTTAATTAATAATCAGTGCCAATGAATTACCAAAGTAGGAGGCGAGACGGGGTATAAATTAACCGTTGTTTTCATACACTTGTGGTGAAGAACATGTTTTTCGATTGGGCATTGATACTGAAATGAAGTACATATTTCGATCGAATAATTTCATATGTTTCAAGAAAGATGATTTTTTACATAATAATGATGGGAACATTTCTTTTTTTAAGGCATTTTTACTCATATATTTCTTCACATTGTTCACAGAATTTTTTGGCCAATAGATTTTTTAAATATCTGTAAAACTTTTTCTCTGACAAAATTTTAAAAATTGTTTTAATCCAGAAATTAAATTTGATTTAAAATATCTTTAACAAACGACAAATTAAAAATTGTCTATATGCTAGTTTTTAAAGTACAAGTAAAGTGTAAAATTCCCGGAGAAAAAACTAAATTTCGTTTTTGTGTTAAATTTAAAAGAATTACCAGAAGGGTTGGACTGCCCCAAAAAAAATTTTAAACATCCAATTTATTTCTGTTTTTGGGGCCTCAACAAACAAAAAAAAGGGTTGGGTTTTTTAATATGCGTCTTTTTTTTAAACGCAACCAGGAAATTTGAGAAAATTTTAAATTATGGGGAAAGGTTTCTAGCGGGGCTTTAGGGGAAAAGGCCGGGGGTTTCCACCTGCACGATTTTCCCCCCCTCGATATGTGTCCTTTTCTACCAGTATAATTTTATGTAATGTAGATATTTTTTCTAACAATATACCTGTTATGTAATTATGTATAAATTAAATTACATTTTAAACAGTTTATCTTAAGCACAATGATAATCATTTTTGCTGATTAAAAATAACTACTAACGACTTATAGATGTAACGTGTCATTGTCTTTAAAGTTTGTTGGAAGTCATTGAAAATGAGTATTGAACATTTATTGTTTATGCATGTGTATCAATGTATTATCACCTTATGTATAATAATACATTATGTACTATGTATACAAGCCGATAATAAAAAAATAATTCCCCATATATAGATAATTCCGCCAGTCAGCCATATCATTAAAGAAAGGCCAATCGAAAAAAAATGATTTCATTTTCGTTTATTTAAGATACTTTCACTAATTCTTATTTTGAAAAAAAGAATCAGCTAAAGTCATAATGATATGCAATAAAAAAAACGAGTTTGCATACTTCATTATATGACGAGATATGAAGAAACAAAATCATAATCAGGTCCGATGGCAGTTCAGTAACATTTTTTTATGAAATCAACTAATTTATTCACAATGTTTTTTTTCCATCAGGGCCTCATAAATTCTTATGCAAATATCAACTATTCGTTGATAGTTATTAATTGTATTATTATATCGGATTGGTGGCTGATTTAAATAAATGAGCTGCCGATTTCATGCCACTATAACGACACAATTGCCTAAATTAGTCGGTTTTCAAAGGGAATTTTAGGGCTGCATTCAAGTTTTTTGCCGCATTTCCGGGGCTTTAAAAAGGGCGTTGCATGAGAAAAAAAGGGAAATTTTTTGGGAAAATTTGTTTAATTTTTTTTTTTCTTTGGAAAAACCCCGGAATGTTTAAATTAAAATTTCCCATGAATATCCCCGGAAAAAGTGCGCCCCCAGTAAAATAATGGTTTTTTTCTTTTGGGTGAAACCCCGGAATAAAAAAATGG